TTTTGGAGGTGTCGGGTTTAGAGTTTAAGGTGAGGATGGTTGAGGGTTGAGGGTTTAGGGTTTAGGGTTTAGGGTTTAGGGTTGAGGGTTTAGGGTTTAGGGTTTAGGGTTTAGGGTTTAGGGTTTAGGGTTTAGGGTTTAGGGTTTAGGGTTCTGTGTTCTGTGGTTGCTTGTTGCTGTCGGCTGTTGATGGCTGAGGCTCGGCTGAGGTCCCAAGTCGCAGAAAGCATGTTATAGGCCGGCCGGGTTCTTAAGGGTTTAGGGTTTAGGGTTTAGGGTTTAGGGTTTAGGGTTTAGGGTTTAGGGTTTAGGGTTTAGGGCTTACGTACCTGAACCTTCTTACTGTTGGTTAGTAGGGAATGGGGGAATAAGGTACCATATGTCCCCTATCTACCCTGGCAAGGGGTTCTCGTACGGTACCTTATTCCCATTCCCTACAAAGCTTAGGGGAGCATTCGGGAACCTTAGCATTGGGCAGCAGAGGTAGGGCCGTCCTGGCAAGTCTCTCCGCAGCGAGCAGGGTAGGCACCTGCGTGGTGTCACCGGGTAGGGTTTAAGGTTTTGGGTTTAGGGCTTGGGGTTCAGGGCTTTGGGTTTGGGGTTTAGGGGTTAGGGTTTGAGCCCACAGATGCCCGCACACTCAAACGATAGTAAAAGGAACCTGAGAACGGGCACGCCTGCTTTCTGCCTTTTCTGAACTTGGAACCCCAGCAAAAATCTAATTTTTCTTGCTTCTGAGGATTCTGAGGAATCCGCCGAGACCTCGGGCCGAAGGTGTATAGGTTGTCAGAACAGGCACCTCCCTCCAAATCCTCCCCCAAAGCCACAGGCCCCTTTTTTTGCCTGGAAAGGGTACCCCCCGCGTGGGCGACCACAATCTGAAAGCGGACGGTTGGTCAGGGGGCAGTTGAAGCCCCGCCTAGCAGGCCCCCCTTGCCACCCCTCGTTTCTGCCCCGCCCCCCCAACCACCCCACCCCCCCCACGAGGCGGGTCGCGTAGCGTTAAAATTATAGTACCTCAAAACTAAGAATTATCCCCACTGTGAACGACGGCATGCCCTGCTTGTTCAGAGTTCGCCAGTCTCACCTGGCAAAATGCTGTCCTACGGAGCGAACAGCTCGCATCCGCTTCACTCCACTCCGGGCCTGTGAGATTTCTGCTGCCCACCTTGCTTGGCTGCGCAATATGAATATGGAAGGTTCAATATCCTCCATGAGCCAAGAGGCTGCCCATGCACAACCACATACCCCAACGGTCTTCAAAGTGGTCGCATTTGCGCCACTTCAAGGGAATCAAGGAATCAAGGGCCACCAATGTGAAACACGCCCTTGCATCTGGAGCTGAATGTTGAGAGACAAGGTTGTGGCACTGGCAATGGTAAGTTGATGACCGAAAACATATGCAAACCCACGCACTTAATTATGCCCTTGAAGCCGTCCCCAACCCTGCCCCCAAACCGGCCCATAACCGGCTTCTTGAGAGGATTCGAAAGCCCCAACTCTGACCGTGGAGCCGCCTTTTTGTTGCTTTCGGGTCAGGGCTCGGGAAGTCCGTGGCGCGGAGTTTGGGGATATCCATGTAGGCCCTGGAAGTGGAATCACACGCCGTTGCTGTCGGGTCCTGGGAGGACCCCTAAGCCCAAACCGCAAACTCCCGCTTGCTAGCACGCATGGGCTACCAGTTGTTGATGGCCAGGTCGAATTAGACAGCGGCGCAGTGGCACGACTCCGGGACAGGCTCCTTGTTGGACGGTTGCACAGCTACCCTTCCTGATCTGCACCGGCCAAGACTTATACTGGACACAAACACCCTAAGCGTGGGCGAAGATGGTAGCAACAGCATCCTTCTGAGTATGAAGCCGGAGTTTAAAGTTGACACCGAGCCGTAGTCACCACAGTATAACACGAACATGAACTTCTGAGCCTTCTGAGAACCAACCCCGGGGCCCCTTCTGCGCAAGACCCGGTTTTCTGCTGCTGGGATTTCCACAGCAGCCAAGCAAAGAGGCCACGCCTTCGCTTCCCCAACGCGATGAAACCACGATGCAGCACGCAAGAAGCTGCCAAAAGGCAAGAAGAAGTTCATGTGAGGTTTAGGGTTTAGGGTTCAGGGTTTAGGGTTTAGGGTTTAGGGTGAATTGGGATGTTCCCCCTAGTACTAACAGTCCTTAAGTCAGATTCTCGCACTCCCTATTATAATCCTTTAAGGACTGTATAAGGGGGAACATCCCAGTTCATATCCGCCGACCCCCCGCTGGAGCGGGGGAGGCGTTTGTTGAAAAAGAATAGGTAGTAACAAAATAATGAAGCTTCCATCACCCCCACCCTTACAGCTATCCGATGTGGGAGGTAGTTGCGGATACCCGCCGCAGGCTTCTTCTTGCGGGACTCTCTGTGGGCAGGAGGCGAGGAGAAGGGTTGACTTAAACTCCAACAACCCCACACCAAGGGTGGGAAATGAATATGTTCGTCGTTAAAACTGACCATGACAGAAAGAAAGCTCACAAAAAGCACGTCTAGGGCCCCTAGAGAGGGAGATGTGGGCTTGAATTCGGCTCGAAATAGTCTGTTCGGCTTGGGGATTTGGAGAAGCGAGGTCGAGGATGACAGTGCCAGGAGGGCGCTGGGACAGACTTGGGTACGAATGCACGGCTCGACCGTCTAATTCCGGATATCCTGAGAGATGATTGAGGACCTTGATCCGTCCCACCTCCACGTCTTTTGCATGCCAATGCAGGTCTGTGCCAACTTCTGGGGGGGGAGCATTCGACGTGCCTTCAAGTCAGGAAACCGGTGCGGAAAACCCACTGTACTAAGAGTGGGTGTTTGGGGTGCTGTGTTGCACAGGGTTCTGGCATCCGGGTTGGGTGGAGGAACTACTCGATGCTATCCAGGCTGGCACTGCTCAGGATTCAGGTGCGGAAAGCTTCTGAGCCTCAACATCTAAAATCCCAAAGGCTGCAGACTCATGTCGGTGCATCGGCGTACATCGTCGTGCACTTGGTGTGTCATTGATAGATCGAGATTTGGGGGGTATCATGTGGGACTTACTTCAATTGTACAGCTTGGGATGCTCACCCCGCTGTACTAACAGTCCTTCTTAGGGATTGTAGTACCCCAATTATTATGCCTATTGAGGAGCTGTTAGTCTAAGGGGCTTTTATTCAGCTTTGGAAAGCCTCCGCAGATTCTTCGGGGTATCATTTGGGACCTCAAGGGTTTGCGGCTTAGGGTTTAGGGTTTAGGGTTTAGCGTTTAGGGTTTAGGGTGTAGGTTGCAGGGTGTGGGGTGTAGGGTTAGGGTTTAGGGTGTAGCTAGAGAAGCTGGGCTGGTGGCTCGGGACTTCTGAATCAGGACTCCAGAATGACCCAGAATTTGTACCTCAATGCATCTTTCTTCTCACAGACTCTGACCCGCCATAGAGGTTGAAACGCCCGGAGGCCGCAGCATCGGACTACTGGGTTTTTGCTTCTTTATCATGCCCGAGCCTCCTGGTCTAAGAACTAAGGTTTAGGGATAGGGTTTAGGGTTTAGGGTTTAGGGTTTAGGGTTTAGGGTTTAGGGTTTAGGGTTTAGGGTTTAGGGTTTAGGGTTTAGGGTTTAGGGTTTAGGGTTCAGGGTTCAGGGTTTAGGGCCTAGGGTTTCGGGTTTAGGGTTTAGGGTTTAGGGTTTAGGGTTTAGGGTTTAGGGAACCTGCAGGTCTGGCGTTGGGGATGAGGGGGGCGGGACGAGGGCGGGCTTGGTGGCAGCTCGACATCAGTTGATCAACGATGGTCTGGCATGAAATGCGGGGATTTACGAAAAGAAGGGACCCTAAATCTAGGCTCCCAAATCATAGGGTCCCCTTATAAAAAAGGACCCCGATAAGGTACCCCTACGATCGTAAACCCCCATGTCGGAGCATGCTGCTGCAGAGGGAGCGGCCGCTTTGCGAGACACTACGGCCTGCACAGTCCTAAGCGCCAGATGCCCAAAAAAGCCCTGCAAAGACTTCAAAGAGCCGTGGGCAAAGAGTGCCCACCTGGGACTTGATTTACCTACAGTTGAGTAGCAAGTGCCCTTCATTCATGGGTATAACCCATATAAAAAACTAATTAGTAGTTACCCTTAGAATCCCTTAGTTCAGAGGTATAACCCATATAGAACTGTAGGTAAAGAGGGGGTCCCAAGTAGTGCAGGCGTGCCCGGTGTCATTGCACCGAGGGCTCGCCTCAGGCACCTGAGGGGGGCGGCATGCTTGCCTCACAGGAGATGAGTTGGGATGTTCGCCCTTCTACTAGCAGCTCCTTAATGGGGATGATGGTCCCCTATCCTATGAGACTCCCTTAAAGGCTTATCATAGGGGGTACTGTAATCCCTAGTAAGGCTGTTAGTATAAGGGGGAGCATCGCAGGAGATGAGGCGCTGCAAACCTCTGCAAGCTCGGAGGTTCACGTCTGTTAGGTGCTTCAATCCTGTCAGGCCTAAGTGTAAGTCGTCATTCCTAAAAAAGGAAAGGCGCGAAGGGAGGGAAGTAGGGATTCACCTTGGCGCTTGCTGGCTCTTAGTAGTGCCCCGTATCCCCCGATTCTTAGATCCTTAACGGACGCAGGGCTCCTGCTTCAACTCGCCGCAATGTTGAACAAACTGGGCATCCAAGCCCTCATTCCGAGAACCCGAAGACCCGAACCGTTTCAAAACCTAGACTCCCAACCCTAAACCCTAACCCCTAAAAATCTAATTCTCTCCTTTCATTTGCTAGCTCATTTCAAGCACATTCTAGCCCCTGGAACAAAGGCCATGCGTGGATAAAGAAGTTGCTATGTCGAGGGAGGCTTCTTGAGGGTAACCCTAAACCCCAAACACCCCCAAAGGCCCGAACAAAGGCCCCACAGGACCGAACCCCTAAACCCTAAACCCTGAACCCTAAACCCTAAACCCTAAACCCTAAACCCCAAACCCTAAACCCTAAACCCTAAACCCTAAACCCTAAACCCTAAACAATCTCAAGGCCGGGAGCCTCAGTAGATCGCATCTTTCAAGCAAAGAACCCCGACCTGAACCCAGCATGCTGCTAGGGTGGGGGATGGTACGGGAAGGTTGGTTTAGGGTTTAGGGTTTAGGGTTTAGGGTTTAGGGTTTAGGGTTTAGGGTTTAGGGTTTAGGGTTTAGGGTTTAGGGTTTCGGGTTTAGGGTTTAGGGCTTAGGGTTTAGGCTTCATGACTTTGACTGTCTCACTCGAGGCCATAAACCAGAATCTTCGGTGCTGCTTCAGGGTTTGTCAGTCGCCTGGTGAGATCTTGTTTTGGGGTGGGGGGGGGGGGGGGCTTTTCGCGATGTCCAATAGCTCGAAGTATAAGGGGGTTGACGAAAATAAGGGACCCCTAATATAGTCCCCCAAATCGTAGGGTTCTCGTCCAATGAAGGACCGCAATAAGGTACCCCTAATTCTGGAACCCCCCATAAGGGGCGGCAGAAGCGAAAGATTCAACCTGGCACCAGACCTGCCTTCGGAGTGACGCACCGGGTCAAGTCTGTGCTGGAAACTCTTGCAAGCCTTACCCAAACTCTGCTATGCTAGGGTTTAGGGTTGATTGGTGGTCTAGGACGGCCTCGCCCAAGGCGCCAGTGGCTGTGTTCAGGGCACTGACGAGGACGGTGAGGCGCGCCTTGTCTTCACGCTGCGAACACACCCGAGCCTATTTTGCGTCTACATGCATACTTTGTATGCAAAATTTTCCTGCACACATGATACATGTACGTTGTTGCAGTTCAATGGTCAACATGCACCCTGGAGCTTCTCATCTCGGCCCTCTATTCCCTACATCCCACCCCGCTGGTGGATGCCTGCATACTCTCGACGACGTCATTGACCTCGGCCCACAGGGGCCCTTCATATGCCGCGGTGAGGTTGGTTTAGGGTTTAGGGTTTAGGGTTTAGGGTTGAGGGTTGAGGGTTGAGGGTTGAGGGTTGAGGGTTGAGGGTTGAGGGTTGAGGGTTGAGGGTTGAGGGTTGAGGGTTGAGGGTTTAGGGTTTAGAGTCTAGGGCTTAGGGTTTAGGGTGTAAAGGGGTTTGTATGATGGCCTCTGCAAGCAAGTAAAATTATCTCATGAGTGCTTGAGTGGCCCATGCTGCAAGCTGCTGGGCTGGGCTATCGCATCTGCTGCCCAAAGGTCGGACCGCAAGCTATGCGCTCTTGAACACGTACCTTACGCGTAGACGCAGCGCGCAGTTCAACCTGAAAGGGAGGAAGGCCCGCGAGATCCGCACTCCGAGAGCGAACGTCAGATGTCAAAGGGGGTGGGGGGGGGGGGGAGGGGGAGGAGGTAGGGGGGGGAGGGGGGGGGGGGAGGGGGGGGGGAGGGAGGGAGAGGGGGGGGGAGGGGGGGGGGGGGAGGGGGGAACACTAGGGCTTGAAGGTGGGAGACGATAATTTGAGATGTGGTGTGGTTCTGCCATTGGCTGCGTCTGTGGTCTTCGGAACCCAAGCCTCACCACTAACCGGCTGGGCCTATGACATAAGGGGAAATCACCAAATCTTGCAGAGCCATGCTCCGGCTAGCTTGCCGAAGACCGATATCAGCTTCGTTTTTGCATCCAAGGTGCAGCAGGGCGTTCTTTCTCCTCCATGAACTTGTTGATGTGGTTGTAGAACGTGTTGACATCATCAAGCCTCAGAAAAAAACGTCGACAAGAAATTTCTGAGGTCCGATTAGACCAGGCCTTAGCAGAACCAAGAGCGCCTATCACCCTAAACCCTAAACCCCTGAAGCCCTAAACCAGGCATGGCTTTTCCATGGCAGACTGGCGGCGTGCGCAGCCCCCCAAGGGTGGCCAGCTTTTCGATGTCCTCCTCAGCATGGGCTTAGGGTTTAGGACTTATAGGGTTTAGGGTTTAGGGTGTAAGGTTTAGGGTATAGGGTATAGGGTTTAGGGTTTAGGGTTTAGGGTTTAGGGTTTAGGGTTTAGGGCTGCGGCTTTCGGGTTGAGGGTTTAGGCAAGGATTCGCGCCCTGGTCGCCTCCCTATATGAAACCCCTCTCATAGTGGGCCACCGGGGAAGTAAATCTGAGGGTGCTTGCTTGCGCCTCCTCAATGCAGCAAGGCCTGCAGGCAGGAAATCCTCCCCCTGTCAGGAGTCGTCTGAACTCAGGGGGTGTATCACACCCCCCCCCCCCCGCCCAATTTGTGCATGGAGAGGGCACACAACCGCAAGCCCGTGCTCTCTAACATGACTCTATCCCTGAACCCACCATCCCCGGATTACCCCCCCCCCCAGCTTGTTTTAGAGTCTCCCCTATGGCGTGGGCTCAAGCTCGAGTGCGTCTAAGCCCACCCTAAACCCCAAACCCTAAAACCCCAATCACAAAAACCCGGCTGAATGCCTTGACCTTTTGCAGCCCAACCCCAGCGAGAATCACTTGGGGGTTTTACGAAAATTTGGGGACCCTTAAGACCGCGAAATAGTAGGATCCCCTTAAAGTAAGGGTTCCAATTAAGGTACCCTAAACCCTAAACCCTTCATATCGTACACCCGCATTTGTCAAGCCACGTCGGCGCTCTCCACGCGCTGCTCCTCGGAGTCCCAAGCTGCTTTCTCAAGCTGATTTTTGTAAATGGGAACTGCAATTCAGGGTTTAGGGTTTTGGGCTTAGGGTCTAGGAGTCTAGGGCTTAAGGTGTAGCCGAACATCCGGGAAGTCGCCACAAGTGCTTTGGCATGTGAGCATAACCCTGTTCTAGCAAACATCTTTCAGCCCAGCCACGGTAGCAAAATAGCAGGCTGCAGTCGCACAACCCCCCTAAACCCTAAACCCTAAACCCTAAACCCTAAACCCTAAACCCTAAACCCTAAACCCTAAACCCTAAACCCTAAACCCTAAACCCTAAACCCTAAACCCTAAATCCCCATCCCCAAAACTCCAGCCTGGTCGTGCTTGACAATGGCTTTCACAACATTGAACACCTGGGCCCGGGATCATGGGATGGCAAGGGTCCAGAACATGCATTGGTTGTTCTAGTTTTTTGTGTTTTGTAATAAATCTGTTTTTGACCATGTAAGAGTAAAATACCACCCAAGAAAGATTGAGTTTGCAGGGGATGCATCGGGAATCGCACGGTGCTCTACGGCTGCTAGTGCTTTCCGAGCAACGCGTTCGAAGGTGTCCAGCATGTCGTCTTCGAGCAGCCTCAGAGAAGCAGCTGCTTCATGTCGCTTGCAGGACCATTCGAGCAGGTGCTGCGACGGTCCTTCCTGATCTTGAGGCCTGCATGTCTGTGAATGCTCCTAACCAGGCTATTCTGACAGTCTTGCAGACTGCCGCAAGGATTGCACCCAACGCCCTGTCGAAGGACTCTTTTCAAGCGGCTCCCCGAAACGCTGCACAAAAGCCTCACGAAGAAGGCCCACATCCCAAAAGCGCTTTCGAGCGTCCCCTTGATTTACAAAAACCCAAGGCGCTGGAAGCTTGTCTGGGCCTCCATGATCTGGTGGATCTTAGGTGCATTCGACGTCGACCTGGGCCGCTGTTCGGAGGCTCTTGCTGGCCCGGATGTCTACAACTCTCACACAGCATCTGAAGATCGCACCAGGGGCCTACTTGAACATGCGCCATATGGTTCGCTCTTGCAGAGCACCCTTAACGCCAAGCCGACCAAGGTGCTCGTGGACGACCTTCTTTACGGACGCCCGCCTTACGTGTGCCATATGAGGCGAAACCACGGGGGCAGTCTTGCTTGTTGCTTGGCTGCTTGATTCTTCTGCTGGGCATGTTTCTTTTCATGCTGGACTCCACCCCCCCCCCCTCGTTCTTAAAACTCTTGCCTCTTGCCGGACACTTCTTCGCTATGTTGCTATGCTCTGACTCATATGCTGGGCATCTTATCTTCGTTTCTGCTCTGGGATTCATGTTGCAGTACCTTGCTATTCGGGTTTGAGGGGAAAGGTGCCCGGGGATCGCGAAAGGCTGGTAGTGTCGCTAGGGATGGGTTGGCTTCTGCTGGCAGCATGACCCAGTTCAGTTGCGTTTCATGGCAAAGGGGGGGGGGGGACAGAGTCACCGAACCGAAAGCGTGCTGAGTCTTCTTCGGCCGCGTGGCGCGCCACCCGTGCCGGTCATGCCCTGATCCATCATCTCACCTTCATCCTGCGGGCCAAGTCGTAGCAGCGTCGTAGCATGCAGCATGCTTCTTGGGGCCTGTGGGGGCCTGTGGTTTGAAGGCCAGTGAGGGCTTGAGGTTCACGACACAGGACGTGGGAGCTTTGGGGGTGGTGAGGGTTGGGCCCCAGGAAGCGCTCTGTAGGCCCGCTAGACGCAGGGGCCCGTTCGGGGGGGTTCCGGGCTGCGGCCAGGCGACGAGCTCAGTGAACTGGGTCTGCTGGTGGCTCTCAGCCGCCTCACGAGCTGAGGACTTCTCCTCTGCCACCTGCGGAGAGCTTCCTCTGGGGTTTGGGGTTTGGGGTTTGGGGTTTAGGGTTTTGGGTTTTGGGTTTTGGGTTTAGGGCTTTAAAAGTCGCATAGGGGGCTATTTTGGGATCACGATCTCTGTTGGGACTGGTCGGCTGCTTTGGCTTTGCACAAGACGTGTGCGCGAAAAATTGCCGAGAGTTGCCTTCATCACTCAGCATAGCTGGCACACCGAGTCGCCCCACATGAACCCTTAAATACGCTTCCTGTCTTTCTGACCGTGGCGGTATTCCGCTTCCAGGGCACAGTAGCGAAGAAACGGGCTTCAAGGTGGTCGGCGCACTGAAACGTGCAAAGGCTAAGGCAGAGCCCCCGAACAAGAGCTGGGTGCACCTTCTCGGGCGCCCAATCCTGAACAGAGAAGGGAATCTGAAGGGCTCAGGGAATCGGGGGGGGGGGACATCTTCCGTGAGAGGCGCTGGAACGAGGGCCCATGTCGAACCACGAACCTCAGGTTCTCATCTTCTCTCCATGGTTGTAACGGTGCCGCCCCTCATCGAAGACTCTAGCCCCTTGAACCTGCCTTGGCGCTGACGACCAAAACGCCCAGCCTGAGTTCTTAAGATGGCAGAATCAGAGTTACGGTTGCCATGTCAGACTCGTCCCCCGCGATTGACTGTCTTCGTTGAGAAAGATATCTTGCACTTTGCTATCAGCAGATGCACCAGTTCAGTTTGCCACCAGTCACCGGGAAGACCCCACATAGTCAACAACGGTTGAGGCGTGATGCACAGGACGCACTTAAGGTCTCGCAGGAAACTTGCTGCACCCAGACAAGACTGGGGGGTGATGCACCCCCTCCTAATCCTCCCAGTTCTGTCGGACCAAGGGTTCATCCCCTGCCCCAACTCCCCCCTCCCCCCACCCCGAACCCCGGGCCCCCTCCCCCTCCCCCCTCCCCCCTCCCCCACCATCTACCCCCTCCCCCATCACCCCCTCCCCCCTCCCCCCTCCCCCCCTCCCCCCCTCCCCCCTCCCCCCTCCCCCCCCCTCCCCCCTCCCCCCCTCCCCCCTCCCCCCTCCCCCTCCTCCCCCCCCCCTCTCCCCCCTCTCCCCCCTCCCCCCTCTCCCCCCTCCCCCCTCTCCCCCTCCCCCTCTCCCCCCTCCCCCCTCCCCCCTCCCCCCCTCGCCCCCTCCCCCCTCCCCCCTCCCCCCTCCCCCCTCCCCCCTCCCCCCCCTCCCCCCTCCCCCCTCCCCCTCCCCCCTCCCCCCCCTCCCCTCCACCCCCCATACCAACAAAAAAAACCCCAAAACCTGCCCCCCTCAACCCCTAACCCACCCCTGCCCCCCTCAACCCTAAACCAACCCTCAACCCCAAAAACCATAAACCCGGAACCGTAAACCCTAAACACAAACCCTTATTGCTTGGGGTCCAGCGACTCGGGCGCGGCGGAATCACCATGCTTACGCGGATGCGCTGGGCCGGGCCGAGGCGGGTCGCGTAGCGTTAAAATTACGTTTCTCATCTTCTCTCATGAGCTTCTATACCAAGACTGGAAGATGCACTGACCCTGCCACTTGCCTCAAAGGGGATCAAAACCAGGGGGCTGCGAGATGCCCATGTCCAGCTGGTCAAGGACTTGCCCGTACAGCGCGTGCCTTGGTTCCCGAGACGTTGAATCATGTTGAGTCCATGCCTCCAATCTCCAGCTGTGCGCAAGTGCTGGAAGGATCAGGGGCGCCATCCGATTTAGGGTCAGCGGCTAGCTGGTAAGCTGTCGGCTGCTTTGGTCCCGACACAGTTCTTGGGCAATTCGCAATTTCCGACAACTTCTCTGCTCAGCACAAGATGTCAGGGCTCGTCACGCCTTGGGACCTCGGACATCCTCGGACTACGCCTGAAAGAGAAGTTGCCACATCTCTGCGGTGGAGCAACCCTGAAACCCACACCAAGGAGCTTGAAAGGCAGTCGGGGCCCTGGAACAACCTGCCCAGGAACCAGGAACTCTTAGGGGGAGCCCTTATCGGAGCCACGAGGCTTCTAAAACTTCTGGTAGGTCGGCCACGCTTCTTCCTACCATTCTTCCCAATATGGGGGTTTACGAAAATGAGGGACCCTTCATATAGCCCACCAAATAGTAGGATTCCCTTAAGGTAGCCCCATATCGCAAGGCAACTGAAACCACAAGGAATGCCGGTAACCCTAAACCCTAAACCCTGAACCCTGAACCCTGAACCCTAAACCCTAAACCCTAAACAAGGAATCCCGGTAGCCCCATAGCGCCTCGAGAGCTGGAGAGCTTTCGGCATGAAGCGCTTTGGCGTGCGAAAGCATGTCTGTGGCCTGTAGGGTTTAGGGTTTAGGGTTTAGGGTTTAGGGTTTAGGGTTTAGGGTTTAGGGTCTGGGGTTTAGGGTTGAGGGTTGAGGGTTGAGGGTTAAGGGTTTAGGGTTTAGGGTTTAGGGCAGCAATGTGTTCTCTCAAAGTGCCCCACACATAATTCACGACCTAAACACCCCCCAACTTCGGCCTTTCACCCCAGGCCCAGATCATTTAGGGTTTAGGGTTTAGGGGTTAGGGTTTAGGGTTTAGGGTTTAGGGTTTAGGGTTTAGGGTTTAGGGTTTAGGGTTTAGGGCTTTAGGGCTTTAGGGTTTTAAGGGTTTAAGGGTTTAGGGTTTCCTTCACAACGGCTTAGGGCTCCTTAACAAGTCCCCCCCCCCCCCCTTATCCTGTGCCGGCACCCCAATGAATCACGACTACAAAAAGCTGCTACTCCCAGCCTTCGTGTGCTTCTCTGCCATCTGATCGTACCTTGCTTTGGGTTTTTTTTTGAGGTTTAGGGTTTAGGGTTTCGGGGTTAGGGTTTAGGGGTTAGGGTTTAGGGTTAGGGTTTAGGGGTTGGAGGTTAGGGTTAGGGGTTAGGGGTTAGGGTTTAGGGTTTAGATTCCCCGCCCCCACAACCCTAAACAAAAACTCGCACGTCGAACTTCGAGCATCCCGTACCCGGCCCCCGAAAAGCCCAGCTGCAGTGCTAGGAGGGCGCTCGAGTTGCTGGCTCTTGGGGTCGGAGCAAGTTGGGATGCAAGGTTGGGTTCAGAGCAGCACGTCCGGGCTGTCTATTTCAGGGTTTAGGGTTAAGGGTTTAGGGTTTAGGGTTTAGGGTTTAGGGTTCAAGACGAAGACCCTGCTCCGGAACCTTCAACACCCCTGGGCTGACAACCCCAGCGCCCCGCCGTTGGGGAATGGTGCGATGTTCGGGGTGCCTTTGGTGAGCCTTCTTGGGGGGCCTTATTACAAGGGAATCCTAAACCCTAAACCCTAAACCAGGGGCCCCTCATTTTCGTATAAGCCCCCCCAATTCCTGAATCAGCCCCAAGCTGCTTGCCCGCGAAGAAGAGCTTGTATGCATCATGGATGGTGTCCAACAGATCCTCGCAGAACCAAGGGCTTGGAGAGTTTAGGGTCTAGGGTTTAGGGTTCAGGGTTTAGGGTTTAGGGTTTAGGGTTTAGGGTTTAGGGTTTAGGGCTTAGGGCTTAGGGCTTGAGATTTGGGGTTTAGGGTTTAGGGAGTGGCTTCCCGAGCATCCCGCGAGTCTTCCGCCGCGTGGAAAAAAGCAGACTGCTAGCACCGCAGCCCTGGCACCCAGGCCCTATACTATACGTGTACACTCGCCGGTATAAGGAACCCTATACTTCTACTCGCCAAGAACAGAAACACAGACACCAGTTTCCACATCTGTTCACTTTGTTGAAAGCCACTTTGCATCAAGCGGTGCCATTCCAGGTACAGGGCATCATGGACTCGGATGTTCCCCCCTCTACTAACAATCCTTAATAGGGATTATAATTGGGGGCCACTATAATCCCTATTGAGGACTGTTACTCTTGTAGTAGGGGGGTTACTATAATCCCTATTAAGGACTGTTCGCATAGCCGGGCGAACATCCCCAAATCATGGACGTCAACTTGCTGGTTCTTAGTAGGGAATGAGGGAATGAGATACCTTATTTACTAGACGGTATTCTTAGGGCCCTCACTTCCTCCCTTTAAAATCCCTTAGAAAGTATAGAGAAGGCCCTCATTCCCTACTAAGAACCCAGGAGTCAAGTGCATCAGTCCTCCAGCTGCTTCACTGCAAGGTCCCTTGGCGCTTTGTCCAGCAGAGCGGTCTCGATGAGCATCCGGATCTGAGAGCTCAGGGTTTAGGGTTCTTGAGGTAGCTTAGGGTTTAGGGTCGTTTAGGGTTTAGGGTAGCCTAGGGTAGCCTAGGGTAGTTTAGGGTAGTTTAGGGTTTAGGGTTTAGGGGTTAGGGTTTAGGGTTTAGGGTTTAGGGTTTAGGGTTTAGGGGCACATAGAGTGCTAAGGGCTGCGGAGGCTTACTGGGGTATGGGCTGTCACCCGGTGCTTTCTCTAACTTTGTAGGAGCCAACCTGGGCCAAGCGGCAAGGACCGCCACCGTCACTTGTGCAATGGTCTGGTAGTGGTCGTGCATGCCGTAGGAGAACCTTAGCAGCGCAGACTCAGATTCGGTTGTGATCCTTCTGCTCCTCATGAAAAGCTCCTTTCGCGCCGCCTTCGAACTGTTGCGCCGGAAACTTCTGGGGATGAGGTTTGTGATTTGTGGGGTCAAGCAACAGGCTTGAGCGAAGGTTTCGGATGCAGTCTCAGCTCTCGCGCATGCTTGCGCTCCCTGCGGCCAACGCGCACGCGCTCTGCAGCAAGGCCGCCGGACAAAAAACAAACTGCTCCCTGCGCCTTGCGATGTGAGAGTGCCCTTCTGGATCAGCCGCTGCGCAAAAAAATCGCAGAATCCCCCGCTGCCCTGAGCCTGAACCCTGAACCCTGAACCCCATCCCCAAGGAAGCTGCGAAATTCGGGCCCCGGAGCGAGCCACCGGTGCAGGCCTGCATCAACCTCGGCTTCCGGTGGCTTTCGGGTTGGGATCTTCCCCCCCCCAAAACTGCCAGTCCTGAATAGGGATTCTGGTACCCCTAAACCCTAAACCCTAAACCCTAAACCCTAAATCCCTACTAAGGAGCTGCTAGTCGAAGGGGGAGCATCCCAAAGCCCCGAGCATAAAGGGCACAGCAGCCATCCTGGCCTGCGAAACGCCGTGAGCCCGAAACGACACCATAAAGCCCATAAATCAGCACCATACACCCCCCATAAAGGCCCCATAAGCCCCACATAAATTAAGAGCAACAAAAATAATCGGTATACAAGAAAACAGTGAAGGCAAAGGAAAACAAAGGAAAACAAAGGAAAACAAAGAGAACAAAGGAAAACAAAGGACAACAAAGAAAAAACAGAGAAAACTAGGCAAACAAAGAGAACGAAGAGGGCCAAGAAACGCAAGCCCTACGGGCCTTGAAACCCTAAATCCTAAACCCTAAACCCTAAGCCCTAAACCCTAAACCCTAAACCCTGAACCCTGAACCCTGAACCCTAAACCCTAAACCTCCCGAACCTCAGGCCGGGCTGCGGGTACGCGCCGAAGCCGCAGAGGGCACAGCCAACGAAGCTCCACGTCGCGGAGGCGTAGTAGACGTAAGAGAACCTTATACACATACATACATATATTTATATATATATACAGATATATATATATATATATGTATAAATAAATATATATATATATATATATGTATGTATATATATATATGTGTGTATCTATATATGTGTGTGTGTCTATATATTTGTGTTTGTATGGTTATTTGCTTGTATTTACTTTTTGAGTTTATATGCGCAGTTATCGTGTGTGTATATATGCACACATATATATATATATATATGGTGTATATATATATATATATATGTTATTCTATGTGTGCGTGTGCGCACGTGCATATTCTGAGCTTACAATAGGGAAAAACAATCCGAGCTTGCTCGGCTTGGGGAGTTTTAGCCGTTTAAGTCTGGGTGCAGGAAGAAGTAGAGCCACACCAAGACCATCTGAGTCACAGTCCTCCAGGCGCCATCACAACTTCATGTCCGATGTGTCTACGCATTGAGAGGTGCCGGTCTATGGCTGAGTCAGCTTCTTTAGTCTCCCAATTACTCCACTCCCGTCGCTCCGCATCCACGATTCGCATGGAAAGGAGAAGACGATGGCAAGCACCTCCCCAGCAGGTAGGGCTAGACTCACAAATGCCCCGAAACTGAGACTTCTTCTTCGAGCCCTGGAAGCACCCCCTAGCCCCCCCAAAAGGGAACCGTCCTTACCAAGAGCTTGCTGACGGCTAACCCTATGGCCTACACCCCTGTTGCAGCTTATGAGGCTCACTGGAAAGGATTCGGAGCATCATGGACAAAACGTGTGAGAAGAGCACCCCGGCAACCAGGCCCAACACTGGCTGGTCATGCCAAAACCTGTTTCTTGAGATCGAGGACCCAGGACTGGGGGGAGGTTTGGGGGCGAGATAAAGATGAATTTCTTATGGCTTTGTCAGTAAAAAAATTTTGTTCAAAGCTACCTCTGAGGAGGTCTAAGACCCCTGAATCCCATGCAGGTCCCCTTTGAAAGAGAGGCGCCAGGACGGGGATGATGTTGCCCAAGACAATTCCCACCAGGCGCTCGATGTTTCCTGCTAATTTTTTCTGGGAGTGGCTTCAAGACCTAGGGTTTAGGGTTTAGGGTTTAGGGTTTAGGGTTTAGGGTTTAGGGTTTAGGGTTTAGGGTTAAGGGTTAAGGGTTAAGGGTTGGGTCGGCAAGAGGATCCCCGAACACCCGGCTTTTCAGGTTCACGTCGTGAGCTCGGGGTTTCTTGAGTGGTGCTAGGATGTTGAAAGATGCAAGCTCTCTGGACAGGCATTTGATAAGGCCCAGGAATGGCACCCTAAACCCTAAACTGGTTTTTGTTGGGGGGGGGGGGGGGGGGAACTCACCTTCCTGTGTCAAACTGCTGAGATCGTCGTCGATATCGAGTCTAGGACATCGACTTTCCCTAGGCTCGGAGATGGAAGGGACCAACATCAAAGCCCGAGGCGCAAGGACATCGCAAAACTCACCTCCATGCGTAAATCCAGCCAGGACGTGGCTTCAGGAAGTCGCCGCACCACAACTGGAGGGCTCCCCGAGCCCTAAACCCTAAACCCTAAACCCTAAACCCTGAACCCTCTGAAGGTTCTACCAGGGTGTTGAACTCCCAAGGCAACGGTTCTCCTAAGCCGTGAGGAGTAGCTACATATGACTTGTCCTGTGTATTTTGCACAGATTCTCTTGTATGTGAGCTATAGTCTTTTGTAATAACTACTTGTATGAAGTACTCATTCTATGTGGTCATGCTGCCGCCCCCCCCAGCCACCAGCCCAAACCTTTAAACCCCAAACCATAAACCCAAAACCCCAAACCCGAGCCCCAAACCCGAAACCCCAAACCCTAAACCCCAAACCCAAACCCTAAACCCCAAACCCTAAACCCGAAACCCCAAACCCCAAAACCCTAAACCCTAAACCCTAAACCCTAAACCCCAAACCCCAAACCCCAAACCCCAAACCCTAAACCCTTCTTTTTCCCCTTTTAGAGACCCGACTCCGCCCCGCTCTCCAAAGAATGGAGTACCCTATATATTCCCTTAACGGAGTACCTTATACACTCCCTTAAAGGCTATATCTTGGGCCCTCATTCCCTCATTCCCTACTAAGAATCCGGTTTAGGGTTTAGGGGTTTTAGGGTTTTCGAGTTTCGGGTTTAGGGTTTCGGGTTTAGGGTTTAGGGTTTAGGGTTTGGGGTTTGGGGTTTGGGGCTTAGGGGGTCCTTTGAATGTCGAGCCGTAGGTGGAGGTGATGATCAGCGCCAGGGACCCGGGCATCCTGGTGGACTGGCTTTAAGGGTTCAAGAGGAGGATGGGGTTTAGGGTTTTGGGTTTAGGGTTTAGGGTGTAGGGTGTAGGGTGTAGGGTGTCGGGTTTAGGGTTTAGGGTTTAGGGTTTAGGGTCTCGGGTCTAGGGTTTAGAGTTTCGAGTTTAGGGTTTAGTCAGGGATACTTTTTCAGTATCCCTTGAGAAGTGCAGAGTTTCTGCTGCGCGTCCAGGACTGAACACTACCTCTAGGAGAAAGTACAGTCATGTGAGTCATATCGCTGTGACTGACAGCCCAGCAAAAAGGTTAGAAGCCAAAAACCACCACTCTCGCGTGACAAACCCCCGTTCCCTGGCTGTTGGGGGTTTACCTAAACAGGGGTCCCCCAATGTAGATCCCCAAATAGTAGGAACCCTAAACCCTAAACCCCCATATTTCATGTACCCCCAACATCGCAAACCCCCCCATGGAGGGCCAAGCCACAGGGCGGAGTAGGGCACGAAGAGCCCATCCCCTGGGGTGAAAACGGCGATCCTCGGAGCTAGTAAGAGCTCTTTGTTAGGGTTTAGGGGTTAAGGGTTTAGGGTTTAGGGTTTGGGGGTTTAGGGGTGTAGGGGTGTTAAGGGTTTAGGGGTTTAGGGGTGTTAAGGGGTTTAGGGGTTTAGGGGTTAGGGGTTAAGGGTTAAGGGTTAAGGGTTAAGGGTTAAGGGTTTAGGGTTTAGGGTTTAGGGTTTAGGGTTTAGGGTTTAGGGTTTAGGGTTTAGGGCCTTACGAGCATTTTTCCGAGGAGGGCTGGATGGCATACGGTGCTAGGGCTTGCACAAGATAAAGCTTGGTAGCCGAGCATTCCTCAAAGTCCTCAAGTGCCGTTTGCCGGGTTTTGGGTTTAGGGTTTAGGGTTTTGGGTTTAGGGTTTAGGGTTTACGGTTTAGGGTTTAGGGTTTAGGGTTTAGGGTTTAGGGTTTGGGGGGGGAACAAATTGTGTACTCCAGCAATGCTGGTTGGCAGAAGAAAGCAACGAGCCTAGGAAACAGATTGCCTGCCCAGGGCTGACTATTGCCCCGAAATATGGGGGTTTCCGGAAATGGGGTTCCTACAATAAGGATTCTACTGATCTAACCGGCCTTGCAAAGGCCTGAATTAGTGTTTTCCCGGTGCATCCGCCAGGGGACAGAAACGTCACGAAGACCGGCAGGAAGTTCACAATGGCAAACTTCAAGTGCTCCTGTCTGCCCTAAACCCTCAAACCCTCAAACCCTAAAACCCTCAAATCCTCAAATCCTCAACCCCAAGTCCTGCTCTACCAAGCACCAGCCGATGTGTCGTCATGCCGTTCCCCGTTCCCCGCGCTCGACTGGACACGCACAGAATGCCAGCCGAATTCAAAAGCGAGAAACGGATGTACAGTCAGCTTACAACTAGCGGATGTGTCCTTATCCATCAGAAGGTCCAGGGAAAACATGTCTGTGAAAGTGCTCGCCAAAGACTTGCAAAAGAAAGAGCACCTCGCTTGCCAAGGCTGTGTAAAGTGAAGCTGCTGCAGGTCATAGACGCCATGTCACAAACATAGTGATGGCATTGGCCGTTAAGATACGGGCGGCTGGCAGTTAGCCTCTAGCAACAGCAGGTGGGGTGAAATACAGTGTCGGCCCCGACCCCACCGATTCTTTGACGAACACCTGTGGCTACGGCGAGGACGCGCGGTCATCCGCGAGGATGACAACCCCTACTCCGACTTGTGGACACTTGTCGAGCAGGCTGCGATCACAAGGGCCTTGAAGACACTTTCGAGGACGGCGATTTTTTCAAGATCACGCAAGTAGTAGTACAGCAGTAGTAGTAGTAGTAGTAGTAGTAGTAGTAGTAGTAGTAGTAGTAGTAGTAGTAGTAGTAGTAGTAGTAGTAGTAGTAGTAGTAGTAGTAGTATAGTAGTAGTAGTAGTAGTAGTAGTAGTAGTAGTAGTAGTAGTAGTAGTAGTAGTAGTAGTAGTAGTAGTAGTAGTAGTAGTAGTAGTAGTAGTAGTAGTAGTTAGTAGTGGTAGTAGTAGTAGTAGTAGTAGTAGTAGTAGTAGTAGTAGTAGTAGTAGTAGTAGTAGTAGTAGTAGTAGTAGTAGTAGTAGTAGTAGTAGTAGTAGTAGTAGTAGTAGTAGTAGTAGTAGTAGTAGTAGTAGTAGTAGCTGTTGTTGTTGTAGCAGTACAAGGCCAGGCCACCACCCGAGGACGTGAGATCACACGTCGTGACCAGTGTCAGTAATCATACAAGGTTTAGGGTTTAGGGTTTAGCTCTGGCCATTCCGAACACTTGTCCGTTGCGATCCCTCAACTTTCGAGCAAGTCGAAATCACAAGGGCTCTGAGCTGACAAGCGCAACTGTCTCTGGCAAGCCAACCTGAAACCTGTACGCGACATTGACGCCCGACATGACACCACATTCCACGCTGAAGCTGCAACTAGGCGCTGGTTGGCGTGCTTCTCTGCGGCGGTGTGTGGCAGCTCTTCCTGTTGTCAGCTAGGCTGAAACTGCAAAGATCATTGGAAATTGTTCAGTTCGGGCACAACGTTGGGTGATGATAGGGAATTACTTCAATCCGCTTAGAGGCCTGAGCACAAGATGTTCATAACCCTAAACCCTAAACCCTAAACCCTAAACCCTAAACCCTAAACCCTAAACTTGCACCCAAAGACAAGAAGGAAACTTTTCTCTGCCATGCCCCGGCGCTGCGAAGTCCGCGACGGCGCGGGCGTAGGCGCTGAATCCGTAGATGAAGGCGTTCCTTTGATAGGGCTGCTGCCATTTTTGAGGGTTTCCGAAATTAGGGGTACCTTAGTAGAAGGGAGTCCTGCTCTTTGGGGGACCATACTAGCGGTCCCCTACTTTCGTAAACCCCATGTGGGGGCGAGGGAAGCGAGAATCGACCCAAGCAGAAGGTCGTGCTCAGTTCTGAACTACTTGGTGCTTGCGGGTCCTAATTGGACTGAGGCCACGCACCAAACACTGTAACAGTGTGGCCCTGCAGAGTAAGAGTGATTTTGCGCGGGTTTGGGGGCATTCGATGGGCTGCAAGCCGGGCATCTCGTTGGCAAGATCCTCCGAGACGTAATGTTGCTCCTCGAGGGAAGAGCCAAAAAAGCGCTGAACGGGTTTTTACTCGTCAGAAGGATGAGGCCCACCTGCAAGCAACATCATGCCAAGCACAGCGACCGCGGACGTGGACGACCTGGTTCTGTGCCCCCAACAGGACACCCGGTATATACACTCACCAAGATGAAAAAGGAACCTTACATACACTCACCAAAAACAGGAACATAAGCCCTGTTTCATATCGGCCTTATCTAGAACCGTCTGGACCAACATGCTGGAAAGGTCACCAAGTGAGGTGCCTCTAACATTCGTGGAGATGGTACGACACCCTGCACCAGTTCGGGTCCTTCATGGTCGCAGCATACGCAGCCGCCAGGCTCCGCTGCTTTCCCCTTAGGGCCAGAACAGTATGATTCGCGCGACTGTGCATGTTGCCGGCTGCAGATAGTTGTCTGCATCGAGTGTCGCATCGAGTGTCAGGGGGCTGGGCACGCCGACAATACCCTCATAAGAAGCCACTGCAGTGCCTGAAACAAGACCTACGAATGACCCACTCAAGAACCGAAAACAGAGACCAAAAAGGAAGCCAAAAGCAGCCCCACTAGCAGCCAACAAGTCCAAACAGCCAGGCACCTCGGTGAAACCTGTCTGGCTGAGAGTTCGCCCCAGCTCCAGGGCCGAGAGGCGTTTAGAGCAGACAAGGATCTGGTCTCCTTCCCCCCTTCCCAACCTTTCCCGTCAAACTGTGAACTTGCTGCGCACCTGGACCCCCTCTTGCATACCTTTCCGAGACTGCCTTCGTGTGCGCGATGCGCAGTGGGCTCGGCCCATGGAGCGACCCACATGAGCTCTCCACGTTGTGAGAGTCGTGAGAAGTTACCGAAGCTTTCGAAGGCATCCCTAAACCCTAAACCCGAAACCCCAAACCCACTGAGGACCAGGCCGGACCTCATTCAGGAGCTCGTTGATCTTGTCCTTCTCCTCTGTGTCGATGTGGCCTCAGTTGCGGACGAGATGGGGCAGTTCCCCAGTAATAATATTTGGGGCCTGAATGATTTCGAATAGGGTTTTTTTGGATGGGGGGGGGGGGGGGTGACTATAGTATAATAATCATAATGGGGCCAAAAGGGAAGGATAGTAGTAATTATTCCGACCCCTACATCATCCTAGTGGCATTTGGGCCGGATCCATCGCATGCAGCGCGTACGGGGCGGGCATTACACATACGAGGAACACACGCAGGTAAGAGCGCATGCGGTCCTGACAGACACTATCTTACACGCCACAAATCTGCCCAAATCTTCACAAGACCCACCCTAAAACCCTAAACCCGAAACCCTAAACCCGGTCAGCCGGGTTAGCACTTCCAAGCAGCCGTCTTTGCAGCACTGGCAGCAAAACTGGAAGAGATCTGCAACCTCATGTTCACAGCTGATCCCTAAACCCTAAACCCTAAACCCTAAACCCTAAACCCTAAACCCTAAACCCTAAACCCTAAACCCTAAACCCTAAACCCTAAACCCTAAACCCTAAACCCTAAACCCTAAACCAAGCCTAAACCGTCTGAAGGGGTTTTTAAGTTACTTTTCTAAACCCTAAAGAAGGCTCAAGGAAGACGACGGGACAAATGCGGCTTAGGGTTTAACAGGTTTAGGGTTTAAAAGGTTTAGGGTTCAGGGTTTAGGAGCCGGGTTCCAGAGAGCGAGAGGAGGCTGCCGGTCGGAAGGCAAGAGGAAGACCAAACCAAGGGCGACCCTGAACCCTCAACCCTCAACCCCAATATGGGACCCTAAACCCTAAACCCTAAACCCTAAACCCTAAACCCTAAACCCTAAACCCTAAACCCTAAACCCTAAACCCTAAACCCTAAACCCTAAACCCTTCACTCCTATGGAGTCCCCCTACGGTGTGTTTTGGAAGTGAGAAAGGGGAGCCGAGAGGAGGAAGTCTGAGGAATCCGGGCGGCCACCGTGTTCAACTCCCGGGTCTCCTTCTGGATCCCGTCCGCGAACTTGTCGTGGTTTCCTCCAAACCTGATCTGGAGACGGGCATTTCCCCAAAATAGAAAACCCTAAACCCTAAACCCTAACCCCTAGACCCTAAACCGTAAACCCTCTTGATACCCCCAAATAGAATAGAATCGCCTTAAAGGGACCCCGCAACAGGGGACCCCTTATTTTCGGAAACCCCCGGTACAGGCAGCAAGGATTCCTCTCCCGGAAGTGATGGGCTCGGGGTTGAGGGCTTAAGGGTCTAGGGTGGTTTAGGGTTTAGGGTTTAGGGTTTGGGGTTTAGGGTTTAGGGTTTAGGGTTTAGGGTTTAGGGTTTAGGGTTTAGGGTTTAGGGTTTAGGGTTTAGGGTTTAGGGTTTAGGGTTTAGGGTTTAGGGTTTAGGGTTTAGGGTTTAGGGTTTAGGGTTTACGGTTCAGGTTTGGGGTTTAGGGTTTAGGGTTTAGGGTTAAGGGTTTAGGGTTGTGCCATGTTGTACCACCCTTCCCTACCATCCCTGTCCTGGCGAGACGAGGGCTGCAAGAAAACACAAAAAGATCAAAGACCGCCTCTGTTACTGCAGCCCCGACCAGCAAGCAACAGAACAACAAAAACCCTAAACCCAAAGCCCTAGCCCTAAACCCTGAACCCTCAACCCTCAACCCTAAACCCTAAACCCTAAACCCTGAGCCGTAAACCCTAAACCCTAAACCCTAAACCCTAAACCCTAAACCCTAAACCCTAAACCCTAAACCCTAAACCCTAAACCCTAAACCCTAAACCCTAAACCCTAAACCCTAAACCCTAAACCCTGACCCTAAACCCTAAACCCTAAACCCTTCCACGCCGAGCTGCTCTTCGCGGAGCAGGGCGGCCTTGGAGATCTTCACAACGTTCTGCACCTTCAGAACCACTGGGGTTTAGGGTTTAGGGTTCAGGGTTTAGGGTTTAGGATTTAGGGTTTCGGGTTTAGGGTTTAGGGTTTAGGGTTCAGGGTTCAGGTTTCAGGGTTCAGGGTTCAGGGTTGAATTTGTAAGAACCACTGGGGGAGAAAGGAATCTGTGCGCTCAGAGGGGAACGGAACTCCTCGTACCCAGTTTGGGGGTTTAGGGTTTTAGTTAGGGTTTTAGGGTTTAGGGTGTTAGCTCCTCGTACCCAGTTTGCCCCTTCCCGTGTGCCCCAAAACTTGCCCCAAAACTTGCACCCCCCCCCCCCCCGGCCCCCCGAGGTATTGTGGGGGAAGGCACAGAACCAAGCAACTCGAGGTTGGGCTTCTTTGGCACTCAGATTCAGCACCCGAGTCGCCAGCAGAGTGAGCCCTCTAATGGCTTGCTGGTACGAGGCATTCTCAAGATGAGGGCGGAGTCTCAAAGGATATTCTAAAGGGCTCAGGCGAAAGCACAATCCTGCCAAATTCTGCCTCATCCTCGACGCTCTCAGGGCCAAAGGGTCGGACTCCCACGAAGTGAGCGTGCAGGCGGAGCGTGCCTTGCGACCGACGCCCTTGAAGAGTCGGAACAGCTCGCGGGCAATTCCTGCCAGAACAGGTTTCGAGTCTAGGGAGGGGAAAAAGAAGAAGAGGTAATTCCCCCACCGGGCCCTCTCACTCCCCTAACCCCCAAACCCTAAACCCTAAACCCTAAACCCTAAACCCTAAACCCCCAAAAGAAGCCCCCGCAAAGAATTCCGGGGCTGCCTTTGGTGCCGATGTCGAAGTGCTCGAACCATGCGCCGCCCAAGCTCTCCTGTCGAGAGCTCACTGGTTCCCCCGGCTAAATAGAACTAATACTGAATAATACTAAAAATGAGAATAAGAATACTGATTATTGTTACTAAGTATAAACTATAAAACACTTGTGGTCAGCACAGTCTTGAAAAAGTGTGGTTTTGGGGAAGGTTTTACAATGCTTCCGGAAAATGGGTTTAGGGTTTAGGGTTTGGGGTTTGGGGTTTGGGGTTTGGGGTTTAGGGTTTAGGGTGTAGGGTGTCGGGTTTAGGGTTTGCCTGGGATGCAGAAGTTCCGCACAAACCAGCACATGGCTCAGCAAGAGTGCAGTCGCCTCCACCCGGTCGAAAGCACTCTTGATGGCTTCCATGCGCGAAGCCACCTGGAAACATCTTCTGGCTGGCTCTTTGTCGGGGGATGGGGGACTTCGGGCCCTACTAGAGTCCCGTAAAGGGTATCTATAGGACCCCCCTTCCCTCCTTCCCTCATTCCCTACTAAGAACCAGGTGGACTGTAGCACCTTCCGCCGAATCAGAAACATGGATCAAGCGCAGGTTTGCTCTTCACCTTCCGGTTGCGGATGGTTTTGGATACCTGGGAGTTTAATCACATTGTTGCGGTTACCCCTGTGCTTGAGTACCTCTTTAAAAATATTCCGAAATATAGCCTGCGATACAGCCGCGACTAGCGATCACGCGATAGCCACGCGATCGCTGACAAAAGAAGGCAAAAAAGGAACAAGTAGAGGTAGCTTGAGGGAGAAGAAGGCCCAGAATTTTCCCAGAGAGCCCCCACCCTGGTGACCTGATACCTGCATACACACACATTAAACCTTTAGGGTTTAGGGTTTAGGGTTTAGGGTTTAGGGTTTAGGGTTTAGGGTTTAGGGTTTAGGGTTTAGGGTTTAGGGTTTAGGGTTTAGGGTTTAGGGTTTAGGGTTTAGGGTTTAGGGTTTAGGGTGAAGTCCATGTCTTTCTGGCAAGCATCCTGTGGCCTGTGGTGTTGAGCCCATCTCTCCAACAAACTGAGCCACTGAACCCTTGTGAAATCTTTCTGAAGTGGGTCTTCAGTCATTCAATGTCATGCTTGATGTGCTTCCGTTTGGTACTTGTACCTCATCAACCACGATGGATATCACATCTCAAGGTGATTCACTATCTGTCGGACCACCTTACGACCCGTCCATGGTCATAAGGCTAAGAAGACGGTACTTTGTCCTGACAAGTATCCTCTTAGCAACAGAATCGAAAGCTACAAGGAACTATAAAAGCAGCAGCGCCTGATTGCCGGGGAGCAGATTTTCCCACTCGCCCCCCCCCCCCCCCCCCCCCCCGCCCCACCCCCGGTTGATTAATGAATTCCTGCCCGCTCATCCCAAATATAATAAGCTGAGGATGGCTACTCCCTGACTCTTCGCCCAATTCCACCGGCTGAGCCAAGGGCCTGGAACTTCTTGGATGTCGCACTGGTGGCGAAGAAGTAGTCGAGTGCTTCTGTCCAGGCTTCCTGCGCACGCTTGCACAGTTTGGGTTGGGTTGTGTGTGGACGCCGGTCTCCAACAATACTGAGAAGTGAGGCAGTTGCACTCGTTGCAATGACGCTCTTTATTGGTGAGCGTCTTCGCTCCAGCCGGGGCGCCAAAAACTGCAGAAACAGCCCCCCGCTCCCGCCGCCCCCTCCCCCAGCGCCCCCCAGCGGCGCCCCATTCTCTCCCCCCCCCCCCCCCTCCCTCTTCTCCCCGCTCTCGGAACCTCAAGGCCCTCCGCTGCAATGGTGCAGTTCTCCGTGAGCTTCCGGGTGTTCAACAACGGCCTTAAGAGCCGGATTTGATGTCGGGTAAACGTATACAGTGCCACAAGAAGGGGATGCGCAGAGCTGAGACCGTCTTGGGCCTTGCTGAGTGCATCGCCTCGGGGCTTCTGTGAGTCGACCGGCTGAAACTTTTAATGGCACAAGTCTGAGCTGTTCCCCAATAGGAACGACGCTGCATCAACCGGTGGCCCTTGGGCGCATTTCTCTAAATCTCACACGGACACGGGACATTCGTAGAAGTTCGTAGAAGCCATGTACACAATACATAGGGAGAATAAAGTCAGATCCTCCGCTGTCTGAGCTATGTAAACGATGCACCCAAGCAGCTTGGGAATGAGAGTAGCCAGGATGGCTAGAATTCCTCCCAAGATCGACGTGAGGTTGATGATGGTCCTGAGCTTCGTGAGCTTTGGGTTGTGGCGAAGGGCTTTGAGGGTCAGACATCTGTATTCAGAGCCGTCAAGTCCTTCCTCCTCTCAGCCACAGCTTGGGGTTTAGGGTTTAGGGTTTAGGGTTTAGGGTTTGGGGTTTGGGGTTTGGGGTTTAGGGTTTGGGGTTTGGAGTTTAGGGCTTAGGGTTTAGGGTTTGGGGTTTAGGGTTTGGGGTTTGGGGTTTGGGGTTTGGGGTTTGGGGTTTGGGGTTTGGGGTTTGGGGTTTGGGGTTTGGGGTTTGGGGTTCAGGGTTTGGGGTTTGGGGTTTGGGGTTTGGGGTTTGGGGTTAGACTTGCAACTCACCCGTTCTCGACTGCAGCAACTGGCTCGTCTGGGAGTCCCAGTAGAGGTCCTGCACAAGTTCACTGGGACACATACGCGCTCGTAATGGGGCAGGTCCTGCCCGACTCTCACTACTGATCCTTCTCACAGGCATGGCGGACACGATCCGGACACAGGGCTTGCAAAGGCATCTCGGTCCAGGAAGCCCATTGGCAGACTCCCGGTGACAGATTCAACGGCCAGGTTTGCTTTCGGATCCTCGGCAGCTGCTTGCTCAAATTGCTGTGGCATGCGCATGCCAGGGAGCAAGAGGTCCGGGCCTGGCGCACCGATGAACAAGATCCTATCCTGAGGCTCTTGACTGCCAAACCCGAAGACCCACTCAAGACCCAACTCTGCAGCATCGTGTCCATGAAGGTGCACATGAACAGCCAGTGATAGGAAAGGCAGAACATCACCATGTTCTTGGGCGCCGTACCTCGCCCCACTGTCGCAACTACAGCTGCATCGGGAAGGGGCGGGGTTTGGGGTCCGTGGAAGTATTCACTTGGCGCGACTCGCGCCGGCAAAATTTGAGACCGTGATGCAGTTTGCACGGATGTCTGCATTCAGCTCTGAATACAATCTGGGCAAAGCCCCCTACCTCCCCCCCCGACTCTCCATGCAGGGCACTGATCAGCCACAGCAATGCGAAGCCGATTCCATCCGCCCATGCCACAGCCGGAATGAAGTTCGGATCCTTCCATGGCTCCCGCGAAAGAAACTTGAGCTTCGCCTCTTCCCTCCCACCATCCCACCATCCCGGCGCGAACATCTAGTAGGCCTTGTGCCATCAAGATACCCGGAAACTCTCTGAAAGAACCAGGCCCGTGGTGGGTCAGAAACAAACTCCACCAAGCTGGACTTCTTCCTGCCCAGAAATTACTAACCCTAAGCCCTAAACCCTTCGTCTAATCCCTAAAACCCTAAACCTCGAGCAGTGTCCAGATACATCATGTCCCCCTTCTCACATGCGCCGCTGGCAAGGCGGTCACCCGCACACTCCTGGCGAAGTTTAGGTTCCGGTGGGGGGGGGGGGTCGAAGATACGTCGGCTGCGTCTTAGGGTTTAATTCGGTTGGGGTGTTCCCCCTTTTTTCTCACAGTCCCTAATCGGGATTATACTAGGGGTACTGAAATCCCGAAGGTTTAGGGTCTACTGGGGTGGGAGGAGAGTAACCAATTGCGTTGCCGCGTTGCCAGGACATCTCTAGTCCAGCCCCTCTTTGAATTGCGCAATCAGGCAACATCAATCAATTCAATCAAGTGCCTGTGAGAAGTGAGAATTCCATCAAAGCATGCATGATGCCAACGACGTGTTGATGCTCTTGTTGCTTGAAGGTTCCGGGGTAAGCTTTCGAAGGCTATGCATGCGCCAGTAGCCGGATTCTTGCAGAGTCTGCCCAAGTCTTCTCATTTTCCCAGTTTCACGGTCCGTCATGGCGCCACCATGTGGATAAAGCTCGTAGAGGAGGAAGACATTAATCGTCGCCTTGGGACTTGGCGGAGGATGTTATGGAGCCCAGAGCTTGGACGAAAGGGCGCACAGCGTAGAAAGGATCCGGGGGACAGAAGGGTGAATAGAACACAATAGACACAGCAATGCTCGTAGGCCCATGTGATCCATGTCGGCCCAGTGCCCACCCTAAACTTCCCTGTAACTCGGCAAGGGGCCAAGAACGTCCCACTGAGGCCTTGGAGCGTGAGTTGCACGGTGGTCCCGGTGTTTTGAAACACGCTGAAGAAGCAGAACTGCACCACGTTGGGCCAGAAGCCCTGACGCAGGAGGGCTGGCTTCAACTGCTCGAAAATCTCGCGAGACCGTCTGAAGTGCAGGTGAGTGCAAGAAATCACCGGCGAGAAGGCGCTTCGGGAGTTTCAGTTTCGGGCACAGGATGCTTGCAAGAGCCCTGACCCCGGCTCCCGTTAAGTGGGCTAATCAGTTGATGGGTCAAATACAGTTGGTTGGCCGAAACTCAACAAAGCTCCCAAAGCCTGAGCGGCCCTGATCCCTGTATGCAGCAGCCACATGTCTGCCTGGTAGGAGCGCGGAATGAACCCACAGTCGATGAGCCTTTGCGGAGTTTCGGAATCTACGAAATCGGCTCAAGAATCAGAACTTGCAAGAACCTAAGAAGTTTGTTAGCTTCCTGCCAGTAAGACAAGCGAGAAGCCGCCCCAACCTCGAGGGGGCACAACAATGTGTGGTACCCACTGGTATAACATGGTACAATCCAAGAACGACATGCCAAACATTGGCGACACATGAGCACCTGGCATTCTACGAACAAATTTCACACTCTGCTACTTCCTGACAAGGCGACGACACTTGAAGGGTCTGAAGGTTCGCGCCAAAACTCACTCCACCTCACATTCACCCGAGCCCAAACCAGCCTAGATTCATAGATCCTGCGCCTGGGTCACATGCCTGCAGTACTTTACGAAACATCCCTCAACTTCCCACAGCACGCGAAGGAACAACATGCTCTAGGACACCGACTTGCCCGGCGTTGTCCAGTCAGTGACAGTGATGTCTGCCCAGGAGACCACCGGCTTAAGGTCCGGCTTCTCCTCTGCGTCTCACGGTCTCTCTCTCTCTCTCTCTCTGCCCGTCTCTGTGTCGGTTTCTGTCTGTCTCTGTCTGCCTGTCTCTGTCTGCATGTCTCTGTCTGTCTCGGTCTGTCTGTCTATCTGTCTCCGGCTGTCTCTGTCTTTCTGTCTCCCTCTCTGTCTGTGTGTCTGTGTGTCTGTCGGTCTGTCTGTCCGACTGTCTGTGTGTGGGGGGGGGGCGATGTGGATGGGGGCGGGTGTGCTCCCCCCCTTTAGTCTGCATAATGGGTCCTCCGTGCCAGAGTTCAAGTAGAAGCCCGTTGCACTGGCGTCGCAAATGCCATGGCCGAATACCTTTGAATGTGAAGTTTATGTGCCGCTTGCTTGGCTCGCATCTTATCTGAAAACACACAGACACACACACACACACACACACACAGAGGACGACAAGTAACGCCGAAGGCCCTCGCACGCGGAGCTGAAATCTCAGGCGGCTGAGGTTCCCGGTCAGACTGAGACGGTAATTTCTCGTACTGGAAGCCAGCAACTGCAGTCAAGCTTGAAACATCATTGTGTTTATAGTGTAGTAGTAGTAGTAGTAGTAGTAGTAGTAGTAGTAGTAGTAGTAGCAGCAGCAGCAGCAGCAGTAGCAGTAGCAGTAGCAGGAGCAGGAGCAGCAGCAGCAGCAGCAGCAGCAGCAGCAGCAGCAGCAGGGTAGTAGTCGTCGTCGTCGTAGCGGCAGCAGCAGCAGGAGTCGAAACAGCAGTAGCAGGAGCAGGAGGAGTACTAAGTGGCCGTCGTAACAGGATGAGTCTTACTCCGCGGCCGAGAAACCATGTGCTTCAAGTTGGAGGAGAAAAGCCTGGAGCCAGCAGGTCATTGGTCTTGGGGTTTAGAGTTCAGGGCCTAGGGTTTTGGGTTTTGGGTGTGGGGAAGCATGCTGGGGCTGCTGAGAGCTGCTCCGTGGCTAGCTTCGGGTTTACGGCGCATACCTGCTACGGGATCCCAGCTTCCCGAAAGCCAAGGCTCTGAGCCTGGAACCTCAGAGTCCCAACCAGAAACTCCCAGAGAATCACCCTAGAAAGAACCTACATCTTGGGGCTTCCTCCATTTGTGAACAAGGCGGTTGTTAAGTTCCCACTGCGACCCCAGAAACGGAAGCCCGAAGATGACCATCAGCGTGGCAGTGCCTGGGGCTTAGGGGCCCGAGCAGTTTTCATGGGTTTTTGTTATAAGTTTTTAAGGGGCTTGCATGTTTCTTTCAGGGTTGTTAGAGGCTTTCGAAGGCTTTTGAAGGGGTCTTCAGGGCTTTTTTTCAGGTGTTCTTCAAAGGGTTTTGCAAGGGGTCTTGAAGGTGGGTTTTTTGACGTGTTGTTGATGAGGGATACTACTAAGGGCTTTGCAAAGGGTCTCTAAGGGGGTCTTGACATGCCTTCAAGATGGTTGTTTGAGGTGTTTCTGTTTGGCGGCTTCTTCGAGGGTTTTGAAGGGTTTTTGAGGGGTCTAAGGAGTGGTTTTTGACGGTTTGTTAGGGATTTTTAAGGGTGTTTTAGGGAAGGTGGTTTTAAGGGGTTTTGAAGCAGTGTTTGAAGGTTTTTTACGGGGTTTTCTGTGCTTTTCAGCGTTGCGTGCTTGGGAATGTTTAGGGTTTACGGCTTGGTTGGAGGGTAGCTGAACTCGTCTTCGGTAGGCCCAGGAGTACTTCTAGGGGTTACAGTAGTCTTGAGGGTTCATGAGGTTTACGTGTTCCCGAAGAAGGTTCCCGTTTTGAGATTTGGGGGTTGCAGGCGTCCATCCTCGAGGTTACCCCATCGGCCGCCTGCGCTGTCTTCGCAGCTGTCGAGGGTTTAGGGTTTAGGGTTTAGGATTTAGGGTTTAGGGTTTAGGTTTTAGGGTTTAGGGTTTGGGGTTTAGGGTTGGGATGCTTCATACTGATTGGCGCATTCAAAAAAAGTGCTGACAGCCACGCAGGTGGTGCGCGCAATCTTCGTAATTGTCATCGTTTTGATGGAAAAAAGGGGAAAGAGAAAGAGAAACGCAAAAAGAGAAAGAGAGAAAGAGAGAAAGAGAGAAAGAGAGAAAGAGAGAAAGAGAGAAAGAGAGAAAGAGAGAAAGAGAGAAAGAGAGAAAGAGAGAAAGAGAGAAAGAGAGAAAGAGAGAAAGAGAGAAAGAGAGAAAAAGAGAAAGAGAGAAAGAGAGAAAGAGAGAAAGAGAGAAAGAGAGAAAGAGAGAAAGAGAGAAAGAGAGAAAGAGAGAAAGAGAGAAGAGAGAGAAGAGAGAAAGAGAGAAAGAGAGAAAGAGAGAAAGAGAGAAAGAGAGAAAGAGAGAAAGAGAGAAAGAGAGAAAGAGAGAAAGAGAGAAAGAGAGAAAGAGAGAAAGAGAGAAAAAGAGAGAAAGAGAGAGAGAGAGAGAAAGAGAGAACGAGAGAACGAGAGAAAGCGAGAAAGCGAGAAAGCGAGAAAGGGAGAAATCGACATGGCCCGAAACCCTAAACCCTAAACCCTAAACGCTAAACCCCAAACCCTAAACCCTAAACCCTAGATAGGAGACGTCAGTACGCATCTCGTGTCGTGCTGTCGCATTCGCCGTGTACCGCGTCTGCATTTCCTTTTCGTGGCCACCAGCAGCTTATTTGTTCAGACTTGGGGCCTTGAGGTTGAGATGCTCCCCGTATGCTAACAGCGCCTAGTAGGGCTAACAGCGCCTAGTAGGGATTGTAGTACGAGTATAATCCCCATGAAGGGGACGGCTAGCTTTAAGGGGGGGACATCCCAAGGCTGAGGGCTGAAGGGTCCCCAAAATGCGCTCCCGGGCGCTCATCGCCAGCAGCAGCTTGCCGGTGAAGCTCCTTGGCATCCCGTGACATGAAGTAGGGCCGGTACATCAAACGGACGCCCAACACACACATGCATATGTATATATACATGTCATGTGTATAAAGACTGTATGTATGTATGTATGTTTGTTTGCTTGTAATGTATGTGTGTATGTATGTATGTTTGTAATGTATGTGTGTCTGTATGTATGTATGTCCGTATGTATGTATGTATACACTCTCGCCAATATCTACAAGGAAACGACTACGCGCTCGCCAACAGCAGAAATCGAAAAAAAAAAAAAAAACAGTAATGAACGGCTGCACCCTACTTCCCTTGGCTGCCATACAGGTCGGGAGGCCCGGTCTCAAATCGAAACCGACTTCAAAACCACCCAAAACCGGGCCTGAGTCACCCCCAAAGCTTCACACATTCTACACCCCCGAAGCCCTTGATCCGAGAACAAGCCCGGAAGCTCGTTCTGGTTGGTGTAGTTGATCACCTTCAGTGTGTCTGCTGGTAGCCCAGGAACAGAGACCAAGAGTACGATAAGGGTACCCTTGTTTGGCACCTAGACCCCCAGAAGAGTAACAAGGGCACCACAAGGTCACTAGGCTACCCAGGGGGCTCAGGAGCTAGCAACCTCAGGAGACGTTGTCGCGAGCGATTGGGGCATCGCACATCTGGGACACGCGTTCCCCTCGTCGAGGACTCAGAAACCAAGGGGAAGAGATGAAGCAAGGACTGGGGGCTGGTGATTTCCTCGTCCGCAGCTGAGGGACCATAACGATTTAAGCCTTGGACCCGCACCTAGTCGAAGAAGGTGTCTCACAAAAAAGTCTCCAAAGTTAAGCCCGAACTCAACAAGACCCTCACCCCGCCATCCTACGACACGACCCGGAATCTGCAACCTGGAAGGGATTGGTCCAGCTAGATATCAGGTTCGCTGTCTTGAACATAACAGCAAGGATTTCAAGCTGGGCCCGGGCTCATGGTGACTCCCTAAACCCTAAACCCTAAACCCTAAACCCTAAACCCTAAACCCTAAACCCCGAATACTTGGGCTCATTGCAATCCCGCCAAAAGTAGCCCACGGAGAGGCACGGCGGCCTTCTTGATCCGTGTTTCCGCTGCCTTGACCTTCGCATCCAAGAGAGCCTTGTTCTCATCGCTGATCTGCGCCGGCAGTCCAGGCTCTCACTAGGGTTTAGGGTTTAGGGTTTAGGGTTTAGGGTTTAGGGTTTAGGGTTTAGGGTTTAGGGTTTAGGGTTTAGGGTTTAGGGTTTAGGGTTTAGGGTTTAGGGTTTAAAAGGGTTTGGGGTTTAGGGTTTAGGGTTTAGGGTTTAGGGTTTAGGGTTTAGGGTTCCGGGTTCCGGGTTCGAAGAGTTCAGGGTCTATTTTGACCTTTCACGTCCTTTCCAGCGCCCAGGATGACGAAAGCTGTTCAGCTTCCGTGCGTGGCTTTGGAGTTGGGTCCATAGCCCTAGCAACTGGTTGACCGTAGTAGGTTCTTCTGCAGGCAAAGCTGTGAAACGACCCTGGCCCTCTCCTCTCCACAATCACCCGGGCCTCGACTTTGCAGCAGCCAGAGAGCAAGCCGCCTCCCTCGGGAGGTTGTCCCTAAACCCTAAACCCTAAACCCTAAACCTAAACCCTAAACCCTAAACCCTAAACCCTAAACCCTTGGGGCTGCGAGGGGGGAGGGAGGGATCCACGGTCTCCGGAAGCTTGTGGGACAGGACGTGCGGGATTCTTTAGGGACGCAAGCTTGTGGGTCCTTACAGGAAGGTCTCGGTTCCAACACTTTCAAAACATAAACATGTTGTTTTAAAAAAAGCACATGGGGGTAGGCTGGTGCATTCGGAACCGGCTCTGATCATCTTCTTTTGGTGCCACATGCGGGGCCAGCTTAGCCCGAACCGCAAGAGCAATTACCAGCCCGATGGCTGATTCCCGGCCTCATCTGCAGCCATGAGGACGTGCGATCGGACACTACTCTGACTCTGGGTCATCGGGCCAAAGGCAACTAAGAGCACGGATGGCGTTTAAGCTCACTTGCTGTTGCTGCAATGTGGTTGGGCTCGGCTGGCGGAGGAGTTTTGGTGACTGGCCTTTTGTCACGCGCTGCACCACTTTCTCGCGGCTGCAACGCCTTGGGGGCCATTTTGCTTCGACCCGGGGTCCTTCGTGACAGCAGCAATCACCACCCGTAAACTACGCATAACCCTAAACCCTAAACCCTAAACCCTGAACCCTAAACCCTGAACCCTAAACAGCGACCCAAACAGGACCCGAACACTATGTAGCAAGCCTCGGAGGCTTTGGCAGAGGGAAAGTCACGGGACCTCTCCCACTGCCGAGCCGACGCCAGGGAGCTCGAAGCACCGGGCCCCTACACAAGGTTGCTAAGGGTTTAAGGGCTTTTTTTAGGGTTTTAGGGTTTTAGGTTGTTTAAGGGTTTAAGGGTTTAAGGGCTTTAGGGTTTTAGGGCTTTGGGTTTCTTAAGGGTTTAAGGGCTTAAGGGCTTAAGGGTTTCAGGTTGTTAAGGTTTTTAAGGGTTGAAGGGTTTTAGTTGAAGGGTTTGAGGGCTTGAGGGTTTAAGGGTTTAAGGGTTGTAGGGTTTAAGGGTTTTAGGGTTTTAGGCTTTTAGGAAGTATTCTGCAACCCTGAAACCCTGCTCCCTGAACCTGCCAAACCATAGTAAGACCCCCTCAAAAACCCAATATAATAAGTACAAATTCCTAAATCCTAAACCCTAACCCTAACCCTAAACCCTAAACCCTAAACCCTAAACCCTAAACCCTAAACCCTAAACCCTAAACCCTAAACCCTAAACCCTAAACTGGGCCGGTCTAAGTTTCAGGAGCTCCCCCAGCAGGCGGCTGTTGGCCAGTCTTGTGCGGCCGTGAAACAATTAGTGGCAAGGCTTACTCTCAAAGGTCACTGGATCACTCTGTATATATACTTGACTAGTTCAAAAGTAGAGTTGAGCTCAGCATATGTAGGAATATAGTAGCAATAACCATGATAACCATAGAAAAAAGGAACAGCGAGTTGTACAAAAGGAATAGAATATGACAACATGAAAATAGCAGCGTTCGATAGCCACTAGCACTATGTAAAGCAGCACCTAAACCCTAAACCCTAAACCCTAAACCCAAACCGTAAACTCTAAACCCTAAACCGTAGCAACACCACCGGAGCCCGGAATAGAAAGGTGGGTGGGTGGGGAAGCTATTTGATCAGCCAGCTTGGGCCCAAAACGTCACGGATCAAATGTTGCACATGTGTTACAATGAACCATGCTCACCCAAAGCCTGCTAAGCTTAAAGCATGTTTCAACATAAATACATCGACTAGCGAATAAGAACATGAAATAACATGATGGCAAATCATAAGCTTTTGATGAGATGAAAACAGAACAACTTCTCATAACAATCATGATAACATAATCATATACCATAGTTTACGGTCATTGATATGATATGTAGTGAAACCGAAATTAAATAGCGCACAACAATAAACTGTTATGTGCAATAGAATATATTATAGTAATACGTAAAAACAGGCGTGATTAGGGAAATATGCGAACCACACATATATATATATATATATATATATATACACATACATACATACATACATACATACATACATACATACATACATACATACATACATACATACATACATACATACATACATACATACATACATACATACATACATACATGTCGCGTGTTATATATATATATATATATACATATCACTTTATCGGCGGAACGGCCAGCTTTTGTAGGGTGCAGTGGTAACGGAGGGATGTATCTTCGCAGAAACTCGGACGAACAATAGTTCAAAGCGGATCCTTATCTTGTGTAGCAGCTTGGAGTCTTACCAGCAAGGTATGCCGGACCTTATAGAGGCTTCATCAGAAGCTCAGATTGCAGAAGCATCGCCACGACCTCGGAGATTCAGCAACAACCGAAACAAATCAAATACCGCTATACCTTGGGAGCCTTAATAGTTAGAACATCCCGCCCATCAGCCATAAGGACCTCCCCCCAATGCAGGTTCCGGCCTGTTGACTGAAACGAGCACCCCCGCCTGTACCCATGAACTCACGACAATCCTGAGCAGACCACCATCCAACACCACTCAGATCCCTTGCCTCGACAGAACTCGTCACTCAGATCGTCAGAGGTGGGGCGGGCTTCGAGAAGCGACCTCGGAAGGTTGATGGCCGAGGCATCGTGAGTCTCACCAAACCCAGGCACCGCTTTTGTGCTGAAATGACGCTGGTCACGCACCCCAATCTCCTGGACTCTACCGGATCAAGGCCTCAATCTGGAGGGCAAAACCCACCCTCTACTCTTCCCAGCCGAGGTCTGAGACACCCCCAAATTCCCCAACTCTGTTAGGCCAGAAACATCTCAAAAAACCCCAAACTGCCCTTCAAGGGGGCTCCGGGGAACCCTCTCAGCCGCAGACCGACCGCCGCAGCTAGTCCGAAGACGAGGGCGACCTGGGAAAGGTACGGACTTACGGCAGTGCGGATGTCAGCGGTGTTGCGGAGGGTTCAGTACCTAGGGGTATTCAGGAGGCTTCCCCTCCAACCTTCCCAGAATCAATTCAGGGCGTCCTTCACTTGCACGGAAGGGACGGACGCGATTTACGACACCCACTTGCCTCCCAGTGTCTCGGTCTTGGAACCACTGTAGTGTCCCGCAGTCACCCCAAGCAAGATCCCACAAAAACAGGGTTTCGGGTGTAGAGTTTAGGGTTTGGGGTTTGGGGTTTGGGGTTTGGGGTTTGGGGTTTTGGGGTTTAGGGTTTAGGGTTTAGGGTTTAGGGCTTAGGGTTTAGAGGGGCCCGAGGCGGTACAAAACTCCCGGAGAGGCGCCATGGCAGCCTCGCCTGTGGCGCTGCCGGGCCTGGGGGGCGAAGAGCAGAGGAAGGGGAGACGAGAAGAGAGGCGAGGAGAGGAGAGGCATCCTAAAACCCTAAACCCTAAACCCTAAACCCTAGACCCGAAACCCTAAACCCTAAACCCTAAACCCTAAACCCTAAACCCTAAACCCTAAACCCTAAACCCTAAACCCTAAACAGAACAGGAGATATGTTTCAGAGGAGAGAAAAAGACCTTTGAGGAGCCCAAACGCCGGAGGAATGGCACATTCTCTCCAAGTGCTGGCGAGCTGTCGCCTCAAAAATCCCTGGATGCCTGCAAATGGAATATAGAAGTTAAGGAAGGGAGGGTTTCGGGTTCGGGGTTTGGGGTTTAGGGCTAGGGTTTCGGGTTTGGGGTTTAAAACCAATTAGGAGGTAAGGAAGGTATACGAGCGTGCGGAATCCTGTCAGGGCTGGTGCTTCCTCTTGCAGTCTGTGAAGAACACTCCCCCTACCAACCTGAGGACGGCACCCTGCTTCGGGGTCGGTGCATTCACCTGAGGCTTTCATGAGGCTGTATGGCATAGGGCACAGGGAGGATGTTGGGGGCTGGGAAGGATGTTGGGGGCTGGGAAGGGGGGGGGGGGGGAAGGGGGGGAAGTCCGAGAGTCATGCCAATTGACCACTCTCCCGAGTGCAACTTTCACAGCCATGGGGACGTTCATCTGCTCATGTCTCCTTATTCTAGTTGAGGCTCCACGGCTGTAGACTTCTCTCTCCCCGAACCAGAACCCCCGATCTCCACGACATCCACCCCCCCTGGCTGCAAAATCTAATCTGAAGACCGACGGCAATCTGTCCAAGAACCTGTCAGTTCCCAAGGCCACGTTGAGGCCGGCACTTGAAAAAGACCAGCCGGCCGCCAAAAGAAGTAAGCATGCCAGCACCCATGCCTCGGCGGGTGCTGCACATCCCGTCCCACACCTACTTGTACCCAGCACTCCAGCTCAAGTGCACCCCACATATTCCCACCAGGATACCCCTAAACCCTAAAACCCTAAAACCCTAAAACCCTTAAAACCCTAAAACCCTAAAACCCTAACACCTAAAACCTAAAACCCTAAAACCCTAAAACCCTAACACCCTAACACCCTAAAACCCTAAAACCCTAAAAAACCCTAAAACCCTAAAAACCCTAAACCCTAAAAACCCTAAAACCCTAAAAAAACCCTAAAACCCTAAAACCCAAAAACCCTAAAACCCTAAAACCCTAAAACCCTAAAACCCTAAAACCCTAAAACCCTAAAACCCTAAAACCCTAAAAACCCTAACCCCACCCCCTCCGCCCCGCATGCCAGCCCCGGGGTGGCTGCCAGGCAAAGCCGGGCCGAATTTGATTTCGCTTCACCTGCGTGGCCGAACCCTTTAGGGTAGGTTTGGGCCAGGGCAGGGGGGGAAGGGGGGGGGGGAGGGGGGGGGGCTACAAAAATTCATGCTTATGGCTTTGTATGGACTGTTTTTGGATTCCGGGCTACTAAAAATTTAAACACGATGTTCAAATCAACCCCTGCGAAGAGGCTTTGAAGCGTTGCAACACCAAACTTTAAAGGGAACGAATCCGTAAAACCCCTTCATGTTGCACCCTGTTGAGTCTGGGCTGCCTCTATAACTCCAGGATCTGGGTTATCAGCAAACTTTAATTCCAAAGCTAAGTAATAAGCCTTTCTTGGGTTTTTGTTTTTTGTTGGGGGGGGGGGGGGGGTGGTAGCCTCAAGCCCAAGAATGAAGGGGAGCATGTAGGGCTTAAGGTGGTAAAAACCACGTTAAGCTTAGCAGTTCTTGCTTTCTCTTGCTGAGTGAGCGATAAGCCTCAGAATGGACCCTGTGAAAATACCTCAACAAGCCCTGTGGTCAGTGGGCCTTGGAACGTTTGCGCAGAAGAGCTTGAAGGCTTTGACACCTCGGCTTTCTGCCCTGGTCTGCCAGGAGTGGAGGAGAACCGGGAAGTCGCGGAGCTCGGTTTCGGAGCTCCCGCGGGGCGCTGAGCAGTGGTCTACGTGCTGGGCGTTTGGGGGGGGTGCTTGGGCAGAGAACTCTTGCGCTCTCGGTGGCAAAGTGCCCCTGGGTCAGCACATCCGTCCTAAGCCGTATCCTCAAATTGCGAGATGCTGGAAAGCGCGAAGTGCCGTCTTCCACACCCCATCTGCGTGCCCGGCAGGGGCCATGGTTTTCTTGTGCCAAGATATGAAAGAGCCTCAGCTCGAGATGTGTTTAGCTGGTGATTCATGCCCGGGAAATCTGACTTATTTTGGGCTGTGGTGGCCATCGCTAGCCTGGTACAAATTTTTTTTCGAGGCCCAGGTGCCAGGGGCTGTACTCCTACGGCCCTGGGATTTCATGCAGCCCACGGCGGATTCCAGAAACGAGCTGCGTACTGCGAACAGCTGAGCTTCGTTTGTGTAGCCGGACGTGTTGACATGACGAGCACTCAACGATGCTTGTCCGCTTGGGGGCTTCTGCCTAGCTTAGCCCCGTCCGGTGATTGCTTCTCACACAGCACTCACCACACATCTCACAACTACATCCTTGACCAGGACTGCATGTTGTCAGTACCGGAATGGTTGGATGTTGGTGCGAGTGACATACCTGAAGCAATCCCGAATCCCGAAGCAGCCCCCTTGAATGTAAAGTGCCTTAAACTTAAAAACCAAAAAACAAGTATATGTGTGTATATGTATATGTATATGTACATATACATGTATGTGTATATGTATGTGTATATGTATATGTATATGTATGCGTATTCTTTGTTAATTTATCTGCATACACACATACATACATATACATACAGACCTATACATACATTATATATATATATATATATGGGCGTCCGCCTATTGCGGTTCCCCTTATTTTTAAAGGTTTACATAAATGTATATCTTTTAAACCCTAAACCATCGTTATTACCACAGCAACAAGTCGATGATGATGCAGGTACCCCAAACCTATAGGGTTAAGTTTGACAGGTTTAGGGCTTAAGACTGAGGCATTTAAACGTAAGCCCGCAATGAAACCTAAACCCTAACCGTTCAACCCGATAGAGTTAAGGCTAAGCGGTTAGGGTTTAAGATTTAGGTTTTTTTTAAACTTTAAACCTAAACCCATAGAGATTTAACCTTAAGGGTTGAAAGTTCGGGCAGTTAAACCTTAACCCTGAACCGTTTAGGGTCAGAACCCTAAAACCCGATAGGGCTCTACAAGGAACAAAGGTTTTGACCCTAAAGGGTGCTGAAGGTATACATGCCCAGACCTTAGGTCTTCTTGAACCATTCAACCCTACAGGGTTTAAAGGCTTAGGGTTTAAGGTTTAGGCATTACCTGTACGATAGAACCTTAAAGCCCTATAGGGCTTGGAGCTTAAATCCCTAAACCTTAAATCCCATAGGGCTATGCCTACGTTTGTAGGGCTTTCTTCCCAATGACGCGAGAATACTGTGAGCAAATGTCCTTTTCACTACTTCCTGGGATTCAAAGTATAAACAAACCATATCGTTACATGATAGAATTCAGGTTTTGCTTATCGGGGGATGGTTGCTTGAGCTATTCTTATAGGATATTTACATGTATATAAATCAAACCCTGAACCATAGCTATAACCGCAGCAAAAAGTTATAACCTTGTCATATACATATATCCGCAGAGCTCGTCAAATCCGATCATGATGTAGGCGCCCCAACCCTAGAGGGTTAAGGTTGACAGGTTTAGGGTTTAAGATTGAGGCATTTAAACCTAAGCCGGCAATTCAACCTAAACTCGAACCTTTAAGCCCTATAGAGTTAAGGTTTAAGGGGTTGGGGTTTAGGACTTAGGCATTTAAAACGAAAACTCAAAGAATTTTAATCTTAAGGGTTTAAAGTTCGGGCATTCAGACCTTAACCCTGATTCGTTTAGGGTCAGAACCGTAAAACCCTACAGGGCTCCCAAAGGTTCAAAGGTTTTAACCCTAAAGGGTGCTGAAGGTATACATGCCCAGACCTTAGGTTGTCGAACCATTGAACCCTATAGGGTTTAAAGGTTTAGGTTTAAGGTTTGGGCATTAATTACCTATACAATAGAACCATAAAACCCCAGAGCACTTAGAGCTTAAGTCCCCAAACCTTAAACATGGGGTTATGCCTACGGTTGTAGGGCTCTTTCGCCCCGGTGACGCGAGAATACTGTGAGCGAATGTCCTGAAAACTACTTCATGGGATTCAACATATAAACAAAGAGGATAATTCAAGTTTTGCTTATCGGGGGATGGTTGCTTGAGCGATCTTAGGTGAGGTAAAGCTTTTAGGATAGAGGTTTTGTTTTGCTTGTTGGGGGCGTGATGGGGTTGCCCTCATTTTTTCTTATAGGTGAATTTACATGTATATCAATCAAACCCTGAACCATAGTTCTAACCGCAGCAAAAAGTTATAACCTTGTCATGTACATATATCCGCAGAGCTCGTCACTTTCACTACTTGCTGGGATTCAACATATACACAAACTATATCGTTAAATGATGGAATTCAGGTGTTGCGTATCGGGGAATGGTTGCTTGAGATATTTTAGCTAAGGTAAAGTATTTAGGATATTTCGCTTGTTGGGGCGTGATGGGGTTCCCCTTATTCTAATGGGTTTACATAAGTGTATAAAAATCAAACCCTAACCCATAGTTATAACCACAGCAATAAGTTATAACCTTGTCATATAGAAATTTCCGCAGAGCTTGTCAAATCCGATGATGATGTAGGCACCCCAACCCTAGAGGGTTCAGGTTGACAGGTTTAGGGTTAAAGATTGAAGCATTGAAACCTAAGCCGGCAATTCAACCTAAACCCTAACCTTAAAACCCTATAGAGTCAGGGTTTAAGAGTTAGGGTTTAAGGCGCAACCCCATATAGTATACGTATACTTATGAGCAGAAAAGACACGGGAGACACTGCTTGCGATTCAGAATATTCGGAGCAGAAAGGATACAGGGGACACTGCTTGCGAATCAGAACTTTAGGAGCAGAAAAGATGCGGTAGAGGTACCTCGGCAGGAGAACCATTAAACCATTTAACCAATAAACCATTAAACCATTAAACCAATGGTTTCCCCCTTATGAGAATCCCCTAAACTATTAAACCATTAAACCATTAAACCAATGGTTTCCCCCTTATGAAAATCCCTTAAACCATTAAACCATTAAACCATTAAACCATTAAACCATTAAACCATTAAACCATTAAACCATTAAACCATTAAACCATTAAACCATTAAACCATTAAACCATTAAACCATTAAACCATTAAACTATTAAACCATTAAACCATTAAACCACTGGTTGCCCGCCATGAAAATGGTTTAATGGTTTAGAGGATTCTCATATGGGGGAAACAATTGGTTTAATGGTTTACTGGTTTAATGGTTTAGGGAATTTTCATAAGGAGGAAACCATTGGTTTAATGGTTTAATGGTTTAATGGCTTAATGGTTTAGGGGATTTTCAGAAGCGGGAAACCATTGGTTTAATGGGTTAATGGTATGGTTTAATGGTTTAATGGTTTAATGGTTTAATGGTTTGGGGGGGAGACCATTGGTTTAATGGTTTAATGGTTTAATTAATGGTTAAGGGGATTCTCATATGGGGGAAACCATTGGTTTAATGGTTTAATGGTTTAATGGTTTAATGGTTTAATGGTTTAATGGTTTAATGGTTTAATGGTTTAATGGTTTAATGGTTTAATGGTTTAATGGTTTGAGGGGTTTTTGGTTAGATGGTTTAAGGGAATGTGCAAAAACACAGGGGAACCGCTATAGGCGGTGACCCATATATATATATACATACATACATATATATATATATATATATACATACATTATACATTATATATATATATATACATATATCAATGAACGACACACTGCCCCTGCGCCCCTCTCCGAGAGCCCCGGCGGGTTGGATCTTGTTGGTCTCTGTGGGCTCAGAGGTGCCAAAATGCCAACTTTGAGCCCAGAGGAGGAAGAAACATCGGGAGGCCTGAACCCTCAAACGGCCTGAAACCCTAAACCTTAAACCAACCCTAAAACGGTCTGAAACCTTAAACCTTAAACCAAGCACTCGAAAATTTGAGTGCAGAGGAGTCGGTTGAATTCAGGCGTCCGGGCCCTCGAGGCGCCGAGGCCGGGTCGAGGGCGCAGATGAAGGGTTTACCCCGCGCACCCAGAAGTCTCTGCTCTTCTCACATTCACAACATGTTTCGCCCTGATTGCTCTTTCCTCTGCAAAGGAAGCCTGCGGATCTAGCGAGCACTCTGCCACGAGTTTATGCTGCCAAACGTGCAGTGTCTCATGTGCTGCCACATGATGGTTGGAACTGGAACAACCGAAAGGATCACACACTGCATAGCGAAAATCTAGATGCGCATTCTTCATCACTTTGCAAGTACTTTGTTGGTACAAATTGAGGCAATACCCCCCGCCCCCCAACCCCCACCCCTCATGTGCTAAGAGCAGACTCACGGACAGACACAAAGAAACCGCCACAAAAACACAAATACAAACTAATCACCAGCTATCCTTGTACATTGGCATGTGCCCTTTTTCTCTTCGGTGTACTCCGCTGCCAACTGACACTATCTTCCTCAACAGCCAGCGATCTGTTCCAAATCAAAGCGCCCCAAGCAAGACAGCGAATAACAAGTACAAGTAGCGAAGTAGCTCTCAACAGAATCCAAGGGGGCACCAACCCCCCATCGCCCTGCACATAGAAGCAAAGTGATCGGCTACGGTGCTGACTCGATGGATCTTGAAGACCAGAAGCCTTGCGGCTCCATCGTCCCTGAACAGCCTCGAAAGCTTCCCGACTGGCTGTTGGAGAAGTCAGCAAAGCGTTCTCACGGGCCCCGGTCATTTCCTGCATCACGAGGTGGTTGCTCTCTTCTCGGTTGCCACAGGGTCTGGTGGGGAGGATGGAGCGGCTTTACAGTTCCGCGGGTCGTTGCGTGCAATGCAGCTGTAGCAAAGCCAAAAACTTAACGATGTCTCCACACGTAAGGTATGCTACAGGAGCATTCCTGCTTCATGCGGGGTTGTAGTGTAAGGTGCTCTAGCTGAAAGACAAGTAAGCTATGTTGGATAGTTTGTCGCCTGGGAAGACATTGACTCCGCGTCCATCGGAAAGTGCCGGGGCCTTCCATCGCAGCGGTTAGCTGAGGTAAGCTCCCAAGACTTAAGACTCAATAACGAACTCCACAAACCAGAATACCGCCTGTCGCAACATTGTTGCATTTTGGACTCCTGCCACTAGGGTTCAACAGTCGCCAGGCCCAGCGGATGAGCTTACGGGCTAAAAGTGGGCGGGACTGCACGGGACAGCCCTCACGGCGCTCCCTTTTCATCCCGGAAGCTGAAGATTGGAACAATTCTGCCTCGAAGCCATGGGTGTGAGGCCTGCCTGGACCCGGATCTTCACATCGACGTCGCCTGAAACCGGATGGCAGCAGGCGGGAGGGCTAGCTTCACACCTCTACGGACTTTGAACCCCACGGAACTGTGAATTTCACCGGACTCTCGCGGCCCTGCTTTTGCTCAAGGGGGGATTCTGGAAAAGCATGTTTGCAGAAAGGATTGTGGTATGGTTTTCTGGGGGCCCCTACACCCGAAATCCTAAACCCTAAACCCTAAACCCTGAACCCTAAACCCTAAAGCCTAAACCCTGAACCCCAAACCCTGAACCCTCTTGTTGACCTCTCAACACCCCCGCCTCCCTGAGAAGCGCCGCTTTCCGCTCCTGGAGCTGAATTTTGCTCCGCGCGGCCTGGCCGATGCCCAGATTGCGGGCTGGAGGCTCAGGGTCGTTTAAGGGAGTTTGGGGGTTTAGGGCTCAGGGCTCAGAACCCACAGGGGTTTAGGAGTTTAGGAGTTTAGGGTTCAGGGCTTCGGGCTTAACAGTTTAGGGTCTAGGAATCTTGCACTACGAGAATTGGAGGTCTCTGGGTGCTTTCTTGAAGGGTCCTACGAGACTTAAAAGGTGGGCGAAACTTGGGGGAGGAGTCCGAAGGGGGGCGCACACCAAGCGAACCTGCAAAACGACCAAAACCAAAACATGGACCAGACGAATAACGACGTAGTCTGAGTCCTCACCCCGTCTACTGGCCCTTGATAAATACACTGGAGCCTTAGTTGCTGAGTTCATAAGCCCCCAAAAAGGGTACACTTTCAGTTCTAGAGGGGATGATCGTATCCCAGAAAGTGTAAAGTGTACTCATTCAGCTTCTGCAGTAAGTAGCCTTGATGTTACCTCTGGGTTTGGGGCTTGCTGCTCCCAGATTGGCGGGTCGTCGACAGCTTCGCCATTTTTCGGGGAAGCGCGCTTGAGTGGGTCGGGAATTGAGGGTTCGGGCTGAGCAGGTGAGGCGGGCCTCAGGCATGTGTTGAGGTCTGGAACTGTACTTAGCATATATCTTGGCTGTGGCATACTGTAGCAAAACTGTCGTATGCTGTAGTGTTTTATAGACCGTCGTATGCGACCACATACCACAGTGCTACATAAGCATGTATTTGATTGTGCCAGCAGGAGCCCTCCTCGTTAAGAGCCTTGCTGTGTGGTTGGGATCATCCCTCCAAGGTTTGGAGGGTGCCGTCTCCTTACGCCCTCCGAGCGATTCTCAAAGTCAGGGCGCCCCTTTTGGGGCAATAAGGGAGCCCTCTACATCGATCACGGGCTGCTGACACCAGACTTCCGGCTCAAGGTCTTCACTCTCAAGTGATGTTGGTGGTACGCAACGCGCAAAGCCAACTCGCCAAACGCAAGGCCTTGGACACATGCGCTGCCGCGTTCACGCGGTTCTCCAGCGCCGTCACCTTCATCTGAAGGTTCTTGGCCTGGTGCGCGAGGCATTTGGAGCCCTGGCTTGGGGCCCCAAGAATCCTTTAAAACATTGTGTCAAAAGGTGGGATAAAAAAAATAGAAAAAAACACAAAGAGCAACCAAAAAAAAAACAAATAAGAAAACTCCAGGCCTCCACGGCCGCCATCTGCTTGGCCTGGGAAGGATGCTGCGCAGAGGCGGCAGGGTACTTCGTTGGTTGGGCATGGGCATTTCTCCATTTTCTCGTGACATCCCGTGATCCACTCAAGAACCCAGGACAGGTTGGGGCAGGAAGGTGCATGAAGCCCTGTAAATGCTCCCTCCTTTCGTGGGAGGGCCACCTGCTTGGGCGTGTGTGCTGTGCCAGCACTGGGAAGTGCGGTCGAAAAGTGGCAGCTCATCTCAAGCAGGGAGCCTAAAAACAGAGTCATAAGACGAAGGTTGGCCCTTAAAGCCCTCCTCATGAATGACTCCTAAGCTCCTCCTCTTGAAATCCAGCTAGGGGGAAAAAGGAACGTGAGCCTATGCTTATTGAAAGAGCCCTGCCGACTGTCTTCTAAAATGAAACTCGCCTCTGTCTCGAAGTTGCTGTCGACACCGAGTGCCAAGGCCTTCAGGGTAGGCTTCATTTGGGACTAACGTTTAGGGAGATGCAACACCATCAACGCTTTCCGAGCCTTATTCCACACGCTGAGAGACTTGAATGGCCCAAGTGGCAGAGGACTTGCTGACACGGCCTACACACTTCCTCAGCTCTCGAAGTCATGAATGATCATGAATGTATCTACATGATGTGTAAAAACATAAACATGTGTATAAACAAATTGTGTCTAGATTTATATATACATATAATATATGTATAACATATACGACATAATATGACATGATATATTGTAATGCAACATAATATAGACTTGTGTCCCGAATTCTTGGGCGTGAGCGCCACTGCTGCATTCTTGGAATTTGTATGTTACTCAGTCACCCCAAGCCCTGGAAAGCTAAGCAAAGCTTCGATGTCCCTCTACACCCTAAACCCCCTCCTGCCTGCTCCTTCGCAGCAGCCAGGAAGTCCCTTGCAGCATCGACGGCGCTCTCAGCCGCCTCGGTCCTGAACGATGACTGGAGCTGCCTAAGACTGTCTGGCTCATCGGGAACTCGAAATTTGCGTAACCTTGAAAGGACCGCGTAGGGTACCTTGCTCCCCAGTTTCCCCAATGACCTCTGAGACGCAAGTGGAGGGCCCTGCTTAGGAGTTTCCAAAGGTAGCTCGGGCTCCTCTCGCTGAGCATGTCCAGCATGGCGGCGCCGCGCGGGATCATGGGGCCCAGTATTCGGACCTCGCAAGTGCCCCTCCCCCTCTCCCCCCAGGAGTACGGCCTTAAACCCTGAACCCTAAACCCTAAACCCGAAACCCGAGACCCTAAACCCTAAACCCTCCCAAAAAAAACTCAAAGAACTCTCGCAAGAATCACGAGTCAACCTGGTGAAGCGTGCCCGGACATGATGGGGGGAACGAAACCTGAAGCGCGTGGCGAACAGGAATCCTGCCTTGGGGACCCAATGAACCCTAAAATTGGGGTCATATGAAGTAGGGTTTATATTTCTTGTATCCCCAAAAGGACACCCGGTATATACACTCACCAATATTAAAAAGGAACCTTCTATACACTCACCAAAAACAGTAATATAAACCCTGCTTCATATACCCTACTACAACTCCTATTGAGGCATATGAACCATAAACCCCTTTCAGGGTTCCGTCCCCGTCCCCAAGGTGATGCCATCTCCCAAGAGCCTCCCCGGCTTTGCCTGCTTCTTGGCGAAGGGGGCATGTGGGGGATGGGGGCGCGCGGCGCTTAGGGGGACGCAAGAAGGGGCCCTGGTTTGGAACCACCAGAACCCCTGGACCCGAGACCCTAAACCCTAAACCCTAAACCCTAAACCCTAAACCCTAAACCCTGAACCCTAAACCCTAAACCCTAAACCCTGAACCCTGAACCCTGAACCCCTGAACCCCAAACCGCTAGAAGCCCCAGAAAAGGCGGCCTGCGCCTCGGCCTTGGCGACTTCGCCTTCCACGCCGCTGAGGGCGGACCTTTTGGCTGTCACTGCTTTTGGGTCTGAGATGTGATGGGGTTCAGGGCTTAGGGTTTGGGGTTTGGGGTTTAGGGTTTAGGGTTTAGGGTTTAGGAAGAAATTACGAGCAAAAAGGGGCTTGAAGTTGGCGGCCTGTGTGTGGGATAGGAGCCCGGCAGGATTTCTGCTGAGTTCTTCTTGATCGTGGCCATCTGCTTGTCATTCTTCTCTTTCCTGCAAACGGTTGTCCAGGCAGGGGTGGTGTGTGCAATTGGATGCGAGCCTAGAATCAGGGCCGAAGATCCAGCGGGTTAGGGACAAGTTCGCAGTTGCAGGAGGTCTCGAAGGAAAGAAGAAGGCCGTCCTCTGCTTGTTTAGGATCTCCTTCCAAGCGTCGCCAATCTGAGACCTCCGCTTGTGTGGCCTATGCCTATGGCACATATGGCACCCCTACGGTGCGACCCACCTATGACATATTTTTTGACTCTTTGACACGAACCTGCAACTTTTGAAGAGATGCCATGCCACACCTTTTTTTGCTCTGAGATAGCTTGAAGGCACAAGAGTGGGCGCGCATGAGAGCTACGAATGCCGGCTGGGGTCCCTCGACGGACACTCCGTTCTCACAAACGCATGCGGGATTCCGATCTTCTCCATTGAGAAACCCACCCGCACACAACATGCCACACCCAGGGCTCCCCTGCAACCCTGCAACCGGGGATCGGACACCAAGTCGACCGCCTTCGGAAAATAATACATATATATATATATATATGTATATAAATGTATATTTATATATATATATATATTACCCCCGCAGATCCGAGGTCGAGTGCCCTTCCAAGCTTCGCACCTCAACTTGGCGAAGTCCTTGTGCCGGACTCCGTTGGAGCTTGCGGCGAGTATCTGCTCGAGCCGGTCCTGGCAGAAGGCAGAAGGAAGGCAGAAGGCGGGAGGGGGATGTAGCAGCGTGTGTTCGCCGGATGCTTCGGGGGTTCTGGAGTTGACTTGTGACCGTTGCCCTGGCGAGGTTCGAGACAGTTGGGATGCACCAAACACCTTTGAAATAAGCCGCTCTTCACCGAGCTCACGACAGAATCGTGGCCTCTGCTACAGTGCGTGTCACGACCGGTTGGTGATGCAAACCAGGTCATCCGGTCTGCGAATGTCCTCTCCAAGCTCAAAGGAGTACTCGCCAGCGACATAGGCCTCACTTGGAGACCGAAGAGGACACAGAAGCCTTCGACAGCCAAGTGGCTAGGCAGCAGTTGCTGTGTGCCTACATGAGCAGATGCACTGTGCACAACCCCGACCCAGAGGACAAAGCTCACCCGATAGAATCAGATGCATCTTGTGCTGTTCAATTACTTCATGCGACTTGCTGCAAGCAGTCAAGCAGGCGCATGTGGTTCATGCACACACGCGCTTCACGCGGCGTGTTCCCCTGCAACCTGACCCCCAGTATGGCAACACGTTGAAGCATGTTGAAACCCGCCATTTCTATGCCCACACGTTGCTCAACCCCCCGAAAGCGAGAAGTCTAGGGAGTCTAGGGCCGAGGCCCGAATTTCGGCCTCGTTGAGCTTCCCATCCCCATCCTCCGCTGCGGCCCGGGGGACGCTCTCTTAGAGAGCGGGTCCAAGGGCTGAGAGTCCCCATCTAGGACGTGGCCAAGCTCACATGGAATGCGCAAAAAACGTCAACCTACTCAAAATTTCGCTCTGCTCTTTTTTCAGGTCCGAAAAAACATCTTAAGCAGGACCCTAAGGAGCTAGAGAGCCGATGTCTGCCCGCCAAATCGGCGCCTTGTCGTACTGCTTGAAGATCGCTTCCTGCGCACGAAGGAGCGAAGGAGCTGAGCCTGAGCCTCCCTTCTGAAGGTACGCCGGGCGAATTCTGCTCCGGGGAATCCCTGGCCTGGTACTTCGATGAGCCTCTGAGCATCCCAGCCTTGACCTCCCCCAAAACTCGCAGAAACCCCCGAGAATTCCTCGGCTGAACCAGGACCCAACATCTTGCCGTGGGCCCTGCGCCTGCCGCGCCGCCTCTTTCTGCGCCTCGACTTTCCGCACCTCCGCTTCTGCCAAAATCCAAAGCTGGCATCTTGCTGTGATAGGCCCTGATAGGTGATCCCAAGACTCCGCGATATTTCACAAGGAGCCTGAAACAAGAAACACGCTTTGCAAGTGCGACGGCAAAAGAAGGGCGGAAGCTTCCGCCCTCCAAAGAGCTTCAAAACCCTCAACCCTCAACAAAGGGGGAAGAGAGAGTAGCCGTGGACGAGGATGCCCCAGAAGATGCTACACGCACGCTTCCCCCCAAACCGAACCCCTCGAGTTTTTGGTCCCCTTGGGTGGGCACTTCGCGCTCGACGCGCTGGGCCGCAGCAGCTTTCGCGGAGCGGACCTGCCGGCATGAAGGCTGTTTTTTGCTCAAGGTAACGTTCCCATTCTTCCTTGTAGTCACAGGGGCGCCTGGGACGTGGAGAACCGGTTCAGGGGTCGAAGGCGCTATGACTTTTTTCAACATAGGACCGGTTCATGGGCTGAAGGCGCTACGGAATTTTTAACATCCAATGTCGGGTCTTGGGGACACTTTTGCACACGTGGGCTGCTCTGGGGCATGGCCCTTCGAGCCCCAGCGGCTCACCCCTTTACGCGAACGCCCGCTTAGAGTGAGACTCGTTGATGCGGCGCGCCTTCTGCAGGGTCTCTTCCAGGATGGACTTGGCTGCCCGCGCCCGGTCTCGGAAGCTCAAGATGCAGAGACTTGGGGGGGGGGAGCTTGGACGGCTTTACAAAGCAAGCATGGAACAAGGCACAACACGGCTGGGTGTGTGCGCTCAACGGCGTTCGTGTTGCCGTTTCCTTCTTGCTGCGTGTGTTGGCTGCTGCCCCATCAAAACCACGCGAGAAAGATAGCTGCGCCGCAGGCTCTGCAGCAACGCAGCCGAGGCCTTGAGCTCCTTGCGGGGACACTGGGAAACACGACACGGCGGGGTCCGGCATGTGTTCTGGCTGCTTCTGCCTCATGGACCCGCACTCAATGTCAAACTCATCCCTTCACAAGACGTGCTTCAGCTGCGAAAGCAAAGCATAACAAGTCCTACCGTTTGCTTGGAGGGAGCCCTCCCATGCCGCAACCCCCTCTCACGTAAAGAAAGCCTAAACCCCCATGTCTCTCTCTCTCTCTCTCTCTTCCTCTTCTTCTTCTTCTTCTTCTTCGGGGTTTGGGGGGCCCAGCGGACCCCTCGCGCAGGAGCGCGCCTGGTCCAGTTCTGGCGTGAAACTTCCCCCTTCGTGCCCGGCCCTTGTCCCGTCAAAACACTACTTCAAACAAATAACCGCAACCATACACAAAAGCCCCTACGGGTTTGCGCACTCTCTCTCTCTCTCTCTCTCGCTCTTTCTTTCATGGGGCTTGGGGGACGAAAGGGGACGAACCCTCGCGTAGCTCGCTCGCTCGCTCTCTCTCTCTCTCTCTCTGTCTCTCTGTCTCTGTCTCTCTCTTTCTTTCTTTCTTGCTTTCTTTCTTTCTTCGTTGGGGCGAGGGCTGAACTCTCTCGCTCTTCTTCTGCTGCAGGGTCTGAAGGATTAGGGAAGATAACCCACAGAAGGCCCTCAGGCGCCCAGGGTGAGAGAAGCAACGCCGAAAACAAGAACATGCGTGGCTTAGGCTATACAAGCGTTAGGGGGTTCAGGAGGGGGCCCTTCTTACTTTGCACTCTCACTGTCACGACCCCTGAAAATTCTCAGGTGCGCCTCTGTTGGGCCACGTATCCTGGGAGCATGTCTCGTGTTCAGCTTTTTGCGCTGGGTTGGGCTCCTGAAATCTCCTGAAGTTGCTACAGGTCGAACAGGGCAGCCGCTTCTTCGTGGGGACGTTGAGAGACATAAACTCGGGGGTGAGCAACATTCACAGCGGAGTGTGCTGAGTACACTGGGGGCTCGTTAGGTGGCCTATCTTTGGCCGAGTTCCGACTTGAAGCTACACCCTGAACCCTAAACCCTAAACCCGAAAACCCTAAACCCTAAACCCTCAACCCTAAACCCTAAACCCTCAACCTTAAACCCCAAACCCTCAACCCTAAACCCTCAACCCTCGACCCTAAACCCTAAACCCTCAACCCGAGGGTTTAGACTTTTTGGCAGCCCAAGCGTCCGCATCAAGTTCGCGGGGTCCATGCGGTCCACGCATCCTGGACAGGCGCTTTCGCAGCTCCGAAGGGCCCCCCCCTGGCTCTTAGTAGGGAATCAGGGAATGAGGTACCCTATATAATCCATGAAAGGGTATGTATATGTGTATATATATGTGTGTTTATATATATATATATATATATAGGGTACCTCATTCCCTCATTCCCTACTAAGAACCAGCCAGAAGGATGTGCTCTGATCCCAAGACCCAAGAGAACGTCCACAAGTGGGTCACGTTAGGACGGGAAAGGCGGGGATTCGTCTTTGGCTTATGCTTGCAGTACCGAAGTCTCACACCTTGTATACCACGACAGGAGGATTACAACTTTTCTCATGCCCTTTGCCGCACCTGTCACGGACTTCGACGCCGCTTCGCTTGACGCTTCGAACTCCGTGGCCACTCTGACTAGCTCCTGCAAGCACCCGCGCATTCAGCCTTCAATGCCAAGCGTGCCGTGGCTTCAGTCTTGCGCATGCATCGGAGCAAGGAAGCGGATTTCCGAATGATCACGAGGTGGGAAGGAGTTCCTAAGCTTCTTGAATGCCAAGCATCGAATGATTTAAAGGCGCTCTCGGCTGTCAGAAAACAGCTCTATTGATTTAGTAGTCTCTTGGCTACCAGCTATGAAGAAGCAACTTGCAGCAAGTGGAGTGGAGGACACTTGCATGCGGCCACAACTCGGACCCTGCAACCTGGGATGACCACCTGAACGCCCACCGCAAACCCATTGCCCCCTGACGCACCACGGCTCGAACAAGCCCGTCATCCACAGGCGCTCTCCTGATCCAAGGCCCCACCACCGCCCTCTGGCGTAGCCTTGGCCTTGCCGCGGCACGAAACAGCTGGATGGCTTTGCCGGGGTCGAGGGGTGAAGCCTACTTGGAGCTGGCAGCTACGACTGCGGGTTCTTGTCAGCAGAGAAGGTTTCTGTCGAGCGTCGCCTGGGTGGGCATTGTATGAATTTCGGGCAGCTCTGAAAGGGCAGTCGCGTGATGGAATCTATGGCTCTCTGAAACCCTTAAGCTCGCAGCTCCATGTAATGAAGCATAACTTGGTCCAGGGGATCCTAGAACTCGACTACCCTGCCTCCGCCTCAGCAGCTGCCTGGGCTTTGAGCACCTCGGCCTGTGCTAGGGGCTTGGGGGGGGGCTGGCTCAGGAGGCCGAAGGGGTCCAAGAGGGTCCGGATGGATTCAGGGTTTCCTCAGAGCCGCCACGCCAATTGAACACGCCTCCGACTTCCCCGTATCTTCAAGTCGACTCTCTGCGTGGTGATGGACAACTGTGGCCTTTTTAATGAGAGTCAGGGTGGGGAGTCGGGAGGAAAGCGATGATGTCGGGGGAAGAGGG